GCTCTTCCCTTGTTCCAGTCAATCACTGGACGAACCTCTAATACCTGACACCAGATTCCAGATTTATATGATCTTTACCCATTTTGTTGTTTACGTTTCCGGAATCGAGTTAGATCCAAAACTGGAATTACGTACCTTCCTCCCGTGAGTTAGACGCAAACGAGGGTATTGTTTCAAGAGGTCATGAACGAGTTGAGCAATGGTCGGCCACTCCTTAATTTCAGGGAAAAAAAAAGATTTCTTGTCAGCTTACAACTCGAGAAAGAACTCGGGTTTTAATCTCAAAACCAATCAAAGCATTTTTTACCTTCTCCTCAACGTTACGGTAATGTACAGATGCACAAAACTTGTGGTTCTCTACTTTTGCCCCTTCAATACCCTTTGTTTTCTCAACGAGCGATCTAAAAACCTCGTTGATCATCGGTATGAATTCTCTGGCAGGCTGAAAGAGGTTCACCTCCTTACCCTAATTAACAAACCCAAAAAAAGAAAAAAAAAAAGGTTACAAGAGTTCTATCATTTAGGTGAAAAAGAATACAACAATGGATTCGGATCGTGAATTCACCTGCCGGTCAGTAGATTTTATACAATTCGGGTGATCATTTACGGGGGTCATGATATCCATTCCATGACTGCCCGCATAATAGAGTTCAGTTAGTCCTACCAACTTGAAGACCTGTGTGAGCAAAACGCTATATCGGTCTAACTCTTCCAAAGCCTCAAATGGCAATTCGTTCCACCAGATATATATGGAAGATAGACTCGTTGAGTTTTTACCTTGTCGCGGCTTCTACCGCTAATTATTGCTGTATAAAAATACTTTGCTACATCTCTAACTGCTGCGCGCATCTGATGAAACAACAAATTATCTGAATTTTCAGACCAGAGAGCAACAAGATAACAAATTTCGGCAAAGATGAATTCTCTTCTTACAGAATCAGACATAATGGCACGATCAGGATCATCTACTATGGGAGAGAGTGTCCCATCATAGTCTAGGAATACAGCTATCTTCTTGCTCCTTGCTTCAGCTGCAATATGTCCAAACGAGCTGATTGCCGAAGGGTACTTGAGCTGTCCATATTGAAGATGATAACACGGCTGAGAAAAAGATTCAGGGGTGGATCTAAACACTTGAGAGTGTCAGGACATGAGATTATACCAGCCAGGCTCTGTGAGCAAAATCATCTTCTGTAGCAACCTCCACATTGAAATCCATGATGAGCTTCTTTCGTGGTGGCGATGAGGATTTCATGGCGTCCAACCAACCGTTGGATCTAACATCTTCGAGCTTAGTAGGCTTTCTCCTTGGAGACATTATAAATTTCCCCGACGAAAACGCTGTCCCTGACTGCATATAAGGCACCGAAGCCAAAGGTACGTCGAGCCTTGTTTTGTTGGTTGGTGCAGGGTCAGGGAGAACAGGAGATGTGGGACTCGAATTCAACTCCATAAACGGCACAGATCTTCCAACGGCAACTAAGGAAAGATTAGTTCTTCTAACAGAGGCCTCTTGGGAACGTTTCTTTATCCAACCGTTTTGTCAATGAAAAACCACTTCTTCAATGTTTTCTTGTCACTACTGGCTGGTGCACAGTCCATCAAACGCGGGTTTCCTGGAAACTAATTATTGCAATGGAAACTACAACTCAGAGAACTGAAGGCTTTTTTCCGGCGACAAAGGAGAAGAATGGATTTGTTCCATACCTTATCATCTCCAGATATTCAAATGCCTGAATTGACAGTAAAACGCAATCGATTCTTCAACGATGACCTCTCAAACTCAATCTTAGCTTCAACAAACCTGTACAACATAAACCAAGTCACTCAAAATACAAAATTCTGCTTCTGATGCTTTGAAAGAGTGATTTTTGCACCATAAGATGTAACATTCTCGAGAACAATCATAGTACAGAGAGAAAATTCATAAATTCAACATAAACAAGTTCATCACACAGCGGATTTCATAAAAAAAAAAGTTTAAAAAGAAAAGTTGTAAATTTGCCAAGTCAACACAAACAAAAATTCATCCTTTTTCAGAAGGGTCGTGTAAACTTCCTGTTATTTTGCCAACCCTTTTCAGTTTCTGTGTGATACATAGACAGACAGCTACAGAATGTGACAGGTACTGAGAATTTCAACACCTTTTACCCGCTTGATGCGACACTTTCCATATATATACATATACTCAGATATATATATAACATCACCACCGACAAGACTATTACTACCAACACTAAAAAAGTGGACAAATCACACGAATCAAACCAAGAGATACAAAAGAAACTTTTCCAAATATGTCTCTAACCGTATAAAACTTTTCCATCCACAAATTTGGATTTTTGACTTGAAGAAAAAAACAAGCTTCCTGACAGTTAAAAATATGTCAAAGCGATTTTATATTGTGGAAACAGAGCAGCCAATTCATGATTCTAGAGTTCCTTAAGATTCCAGAAAAAAAAGGACAACAAATACACAACACAAAAATTTAGGGTAACAACTAGGGCAATATTCACAGAAAAAAGGTCGAGAGAAAAATCCGCAAAATTCTCACTAGACGGAAACATACCCGAATTCAAATAGCGAGCGAGAGATACACGAACAAAAGGACGAAATTTTGCACGCATCGAGGTAATCAGACGCAAATCAGAACTAATCAGATTTCGAAAGAATTAAGGCCTTAACAGATCGAAACAAAACTGTAAAAACAGAACGAATTTAGGATGAATCCAGCGAACGGAACCGCAGAATTTTCCCAAAAAAAGGAACAGAGTAATGCGTAAATTCTAACCTGATTCAATCAAGCTGCAAACTCGATCGGGAAAATACCGTGGGGAACTAATTCTCTTTTTCTTAGAAACCGAACAGGAACGGGAAAAATCTCAGGGAATGCAGATTTTGCTACGTAGTGAATGGAATCTGACTCCGATCGTGGAGGAGAAAAACAATTGGGGGAGATGAGATTCGAAGGACCTTTTTTTTTTTGAAAACCCTAAGAATCGCGAGAGAGAAATTGGGGGGAATATGCGAAGAATCGGGAACGTAGGAGAAGGAGAGGAGGAAGAAGAAAAGAAAACGGCGAAAGGTTCGGGTATTTATAGAGTCCGTCTGAGAGCTATAGCGAGAGACGTGGCTTACAAGGAGTCTCACGCGGTTTTTGACTTCCGGAAACAGCTCCCATGTTTGACTTATTTACTAGATGTGCCATCGAGCCAACTTTTTTTAAAATTAATTTAAAAATATTTTTTTTTCATTGACAATCAGACCACGTTATAAATTTCTTAATTAGACTAGACTTGGACAATTTTTTTGTTAAATAGACAATTTTTTAAATTGTTTATTTCCAGTGATATGGTCTTGCATTAAAATTAATCAATATTATTTTACGAATCGTATGAAATAGACAACGATCTTGTTGAATTGTGCGGTTTCAACAATGTCGTAATAAATTTAATGTTAGGTCGGATGTTGAAATTAATTAATTCACAAATTATTTAATACCTTTTAATTATTTACTTTAATTAGATTATATCGCATCTCAGAATTTATTGAGTTTTGAATGATTCATGGTTTATTGCCAGTATTCTAAGATTTCTAATTTTGCTATCAAAGGCTTGATAGCATTTATTAATTTTAGCTTACCAAATAAATAAATACTAGTAACCAGATCCAACGGTTGTCAGTCACTCCTATTTAATTTTCCCCGGATTTTATTTTCATAAAATAAGGAAATACATGTTTTTCCCAAACAATAAACAAAGGTGACATCCTAAAGTTAACTGCGGAGAGGACGTTAGTTGTTTCCATGAAGTGGCGTGAACTGGCTAGTCAATGCACACGTGGCGGTGACTCAGTCGAGTCGATGCCACGTGTAAATTATAGGGTGACGTCATCACATGTAAATGGGCCATATATGGGGCCCAGAACCTTCTTTTTTGCCTCCGTGAAATAGATGGACCGCGAGGAACTTGCTGCAAGTCACGTGGATCCCGGGGCTGGGAGGTAATTTCAGTTAAATCACGGGGGTATAATTGGGATTAAAGTTCAACGGTAAAGCCGTAACTAACGAACGATGTTGGGTGAGGAAGAGCTTGAAATCACGGGCTCATTTAATCCTAAAACTAAACAATTGTGGGTCCCGTTTAACTTAAAAATTAACGGCCGTGATTTGTTCCCCGTGATGGCGTCATTGCAGCATGCCCACTCGTGCGCGTCCGCTGGTGGAGATTGTACTCGCTGTTAAATTCCCAAATGCAAATGCAATAAAACTCCAATACTTGATTAATGATAAACATTAAGGTCACGTGACCAAATGTAACCAATATGTAAATAATGGATTTAATTGTGACGGTCTAAAATCTTAAAAAGAAAAAAAAATATAATTCGGAACTGTTCGATCAAATTGATTGTAGATTATTTCTGTGGTTGCCCGTCTTTTTACATAGCTAATGTTTGAATTTAATCCATTGATACCAATACCATCCATATACAATGTATATATTTGTGTGTGACAATACCCATAAACTTGGACGCGTCAAATCATTAGCAGATGATCATGATCTAATTAATGGTCTCAATCGCAACTAAAACAAGGGTATTCCTAAATTAATTTTTTTTAAGTGTAATTGTGTGTTTTGTACCGTGATCCACGCTATTCACGGGATCAAGAGCAAAATATGTATGATCTATTTTCCTAATTTGAAATTCAAATTCGGGATGAGACACAAGTTCATTTCACCCAATAGAAATTAAATTTGTAATATACGATCATAAAACTTTATGGATATAGATATGTTATGAAAGAAACATGAAGATCAGTTAGGTTGTCACCCCAAATCCAAGCGAACAAGACACATGTGTGTGTATATATATATATATAACCGATCGTATATTAGGCTAATAATGCTTATTTAATTAGTACTTCATTCAATGTTAACTCGCGTACGTTTGTTTATTCATTTTTCATATGATGGGAATTTGTAGGATTTGCATAGGTCGGTCTGTTGGGCGCTTGATGGGCCGATAGATATGTCCACTTTCCCTTAATGGGCTTACCAAAACGCCCAATTATTGTATTCAATGACCAAGGAAACGACATCGTTTCCTAAATCCATTTTCTCTTTCCTCGTCATCACCCGATTCCATCGACGAGTTATAGCTCCGTCGACCGCGCCGCCGCTTCTCCGCCCCGTCACCGCGGCGGTGAATCCATTCATCCGGCCATGAGATCTCCTCCGACTTCCGGTTCTCCATGCCCGTCTCCCTCTCCCCTCCTCCGGCCATTCTTCCACCCCTTCCTCCTCGGTCTCATCCTCGTTGGCCGCCGTCAAGCTCGTCTTCCGCCGCTTACAACCACTTCCATGTCCGCCGGTCTCTACTCGTTCCCCTCTAGCCACGCCTCTCGCTTCTTCTTCGTCGCTGTGTCCGTTCACTTCTTATCTTTAGCCGCCGCAGCTTAGGTGAGTTGTGTTGGTAGGGATCATGCGATGGCGACGTGAAAGAGGAGGTCGTTGCCGTTGTGTGGGCTTGGGCGGCTGTGTCCGCCATTTCTAGGGCTATTTTCGGGCGGCATTTTGTGCTGGATTTTGCTGCTGGTGCGTGCTCGGGGGATTATGGAGGCTCTCTCCGCGCTTCGGTTTCTGAGATTGGAGATCTTTGGAAGGTAAAAAGATTTTGACGTTGATTGTTGTTTGACCAACTTGACTTACTTGATGGTGAAAAATTCTTGCTGCAATGCTTGTGATTCGAGAAATCGAAATTGCCATGGCCTCAATTCCTTAGAGAATAAGAAATCTTTGTTCATAAAATATGGTGATTATTTTCACTGTTGATTATGCCATTGTTGGCTATAATGTCTTGCTACTACTCCGGCCAAAAAAGATCAACATCTTCGCCATGGGGTGTAATGCTTACACTCTTTTTTACTTGAAATCTTATGCTATATGCAAGTAATTGAATCAAATGAGTTGTAGAACAGATTGGTGTTTTAGGTAATGTCCTCTGAGCTTGGACAATGGATAGTCCCTGAATATCCGTGCCCTGTTATTGTTTAGGGTAGGCATGAATTTAAAGTTTAAAGCCCAGATCGTGATAGTGGTAGTCGTATGCGAAATCGCCATTGCTTTCATGGTCTATGTCTAGTTTGATCAGAACAATGAACGTGTGTATGACTGTAATCTCCTTACATAACTACAGATTATATTCATCCAAATTGCGCAAGTTTCTTTCTTGATATTCGTTGAGAACTTTGGAGGAAAAAAAGATATACAGAAAACACTGGCATGATTTTTCTATTGAAATCTCAACTTCCTCAAGGCCTTCTTTAGGTTGATCTTCTCATCTCTTGTTAGGTCTGGTGAAAGCGTTCCAAGTCTTCTTGTTTAGTAATGCATCCGTTATGTATAATCGATTTCAGTCTCGTACTCAGGTTTCGACAGTTCTTGTATGACATTAACGTTCGAAACGGCAGGAGCTCGGGTATATTCTTTAGAGGTGCAAAAGCTGCAACACCTTAGATGACCACACCAGATTCTCATTGTCAGTAACTTTGGATGTTTAAGGGCCCGCGACTGGAGTGTTCTTCACTCGTGGAGTAAATTCAGTAAGATATTTTTTTTTTTGGTTGAAACAACTATTATTGAAGGTGCATGATTAGTTTGGCCTTGGGATATATATGTTCATTTGTTGAGTATCTGTGTTCACATTTTGAATATTCCCTTTATTTCCTCTATGTATTAGTGGAATAGGCAAGTTGACTGATTGATTGATTTTGACATCATAAACTATGCTAAATTATCATCTGACAGATTTGTTATGTGTAAGCTATTTTTGCAGCAATTTCTGCAGGGACTTGGTTGATAAGACGGAGGAAACAGAGACAGGCTTAGATGGGGAGGAGGTGTAAAGCAATGCCCCCATTTCAATTCAATGGAAATGACCACAGGGCTCCTGGTACGCATCTTCTTGTCCTCTTGGGTCAAATTTTGGGTTAAACCGGTCTTCTTGACCCAAATTGTTAATCGAACCAAAATTTTCGGTTTGCCAGAGTTTTGATACCCAAAACCAGACTGAACACCTTGCTTGCTTTCATAACCCTTAGTCCCTTAGTATGCCATTGTTGTGTTCCGGGCAAACTGATTGACAAAACCAAACTGAAATAAGAACTCTAGTTTGCCCAAACTTTGATTTCGGTTTAGTTTGGAGCTTGTCTGGGTTCAAGCATCTGACTCTTGAAGATGTTTCACTTTCATTTTGGACTGATATAACAACAATTCATGACACATTACTGGGTCTAGATTACATTTTCTTTTTAGATCTGTGATGAACCGGAAACCAGAAGACTGGACTGGAGTCGAAGGGTTTGATTAGGTTCGGTATAAGTTCATCTGGTTTCTAGTATTTATACCAAACTTTGGAATGGGGTTTTGATCATTTAATGACATTATTGGTTGCTTATGTTGTTTTCCCTGTGTTTTGGTGTTGCAAAAGCAGAGGCAAACAAAGTTGGATGGTACATTATGATTATTCAACAATACCCACCATTTTGGAAACTTTTCTCCATTCACATGGTTACTCCTGTAGAATCACCCACTTATTCAACAACCCTTAATGATGCTAATTAAGCTTCTTTTCTCTTTTTTTTTTTTTTTTTTTTTTTCTGTAGAAACACAAATTCTTTTCTCAAGCCTCTCTCCTATATGACCCCACCGTCTGAAACCCCTTCAAGATTGAAAATGCTAAGAAAACCATGTGTGTGTGCCCTTTTCCATGTCTTAAGTGACCGGCCCCGGGTTTTAGGAACTAGGGTTTTTTATTTAGGGTTTAGGATCTAAAACCATCCTAACTTAGATTCTGAAACACACTACAAGAAGAGGATGTGGTTATACTATATGATTTTTTTTTTTTGGGATTCAGACAATAGGAACAATGTCTTTGCCGTTTTTGAGGTGAATGATTGAAGCAATGGTCTTTCTTGTTTATGCCAAGTCAAAGAAAAAACCCATCCGTGACTAAGACCTAACTCTTGCCAAAAAAAAAAGGGGGAGGGGGGGGGGTCTGAAGTCTGAAGCCATTAGAGACCTGCTGCTGCTTGTCTCAGTTCATCATTATCATCTCCTGCAAATCTGTGCATTCTCTCTTCACCCACCCAACACATTTCAAGTAAGAGAAGAAAACAAAAACTGATATAGGGAGATCCCCTCTTGTTCTTTCTTTGACATGTCAATTCTCTTGTTTTATACCATTGTACCAACTAGTAGTCAAAATTCTCAATTTTCGGGTTTAAATTCCAATTTTATGTTGAATTCTGATTCAAGTTTCATTATTTTCGATAATGATTCAAAAATATTTTTTTTATGTATTCAGAACTACGAAAATATTCGATTTTTTTTTTAAATTATTAAATTATCTTTGATTTGTTAAAATATAATATATTTTTAATAAAATTAAAACCCAATTTGCGTTCTATTCTATGGGTGGACCGACTCTCTAACTAACTGTTGAAGGAATATGCATTACGAATGTCTCACTCACCCCTCTCTCTTAAGTACTTTCTCTCTTACAACATACCTGAAACTTAGGGTAAATCTTTTACATTCTAATCGCACCAAAATATAAAAATCCAAAAACTAAAAAGTAAAAGTAAAAATGATCACCTTATAGTTTTAATGATAGATCTCATAATTATATTGTATGCATAAAAGTTTAATTATTTCTAACTATATATATATATATAAGTAATAGTGGGTTGTCTTCCATTTGCTAAACCCATTTTCGCTATAATAATAATAATAATAATAATAATAACAATAAATGGAATAAAAGAGAAGAGAGAGGACCACTGGGACACACTGGATTGTGGTAGAGGAGTGTGACTAATATTCATCAACGCACCACAGCAGTGAGGAAGACAGAGAACCTGAAACAGTGAGGGCTCAGAAGAGAAATCAGACTGACATTCAATTTTAATCATTTTTTTTTATATAAAAACTTGTAAAGAGCCATTGAATATATATACATACATATATATATATATATATATATATATATGTGTGTTGGGGGGAGGGGGGGGGGAAAGGAAGAGTACATCATTTCTCTTTTGCCAATACGTGACTCTGCCTCCACCCGTCGCTATTGATATGATTAGAAAGTCCACCTTTTGAGTCAACTTTGTTGTTGCCATGGAAGAGAAGTCGCCGTTTGCTGCCATTGTGGTTCTCCTCCGGTTTGTTTTAATTTTGACCGGTCTGGTTTAGACTAAACCGGTATATTCGTCGCCTCTTTTTTTTCCTTCTCTTCTTCACGTTATATCATTCATCATTTTATATTTCAAACAGTAGAATCGATGGAGTTTTTCTTTTCAAGAAACGGAAAGCGAAGAGGAACTTTTAGATATAATAACTTATAATATAAATATTGTATTTATACCTGATTGGCAAGTTATGGATATTTTAGATTTTAATTTGGTTTCTGTTCTATTATTTTTTATTTAAAAAAAACATATATATTTGTATATTTTGTATCAGTTTTAATTCAGTTTGATTTCAGTTTATTATCCTATTTGATATTATTTTAAATTGAGAACATATATATATATATAGATATATAGATATATATAAAGCAAAAGATCTCGTGAAGTGTAAGAAAAGCAAATAAAATCCATTTGGGTCATCGTGATACATAAAAATTGGATCTGATGTGACAAATATGGAGACACAAGTTACACACATTAAATAGTAATAACAATAATAATGAGAATAATAATAATAATACATATATCATCATCATCCCAAGGGTTATGGGCGAACGGGAACATGCACATGTGTCGTGCTGGTGAGTTACACATTAATATTAATTACATATACATGTATATAGTTTCTTATGAGTTTTACAAATTTTTATTTAAAAAACGGAAAACTAAAAAAATACAAAGAGAAGACCGTTATAAACCACTTGACTTTGTACAAGTTTATACAAAATTTGAGAAATTGGATGTTTTACCATATGTAGTTTCATAAACTAATAAAATTTCTATAATCCGATCCAATCCCATGATTCAGATGAAAATATTACAATTAACTTTGTATACTGGTAGATGCGTCATATAAACAGTAGCATAATGTATTTTTAAAATAAAAATTAAAATGCAAAATAAATCAGCAGAATTTATAGAAATTAAAAAAAAAAAAAAAAAGCAAATTAGAATTGAGTTTGATTAGATGTGGATGGTTGGACTTAACAAAAAGGTGTTCGTGTTCCCCAAGTTTGATTGAAGGGAGAGAGGATCGGGGTGTGAGTGTGCGATGTTGAGTACTTGTGAAACATGGATTTGATATGCAAGCTTGCTCTGTTTTCCTATTTTTTTATTTTTTTATTATTAGTATTATTTTTCCAATAATCTCTTTCTTTCTCATATCACAAATTTTCAACACCGTCTACATATATATTATATAGTGGCATCATAAGTCATGAGATTTTTAATTCATTTTGTAAATTTTGAAATGATGGAAACTACTAACCTATAAATTGTTATAAATCAAAACTATCCTCTCTATAATGACATTAGACATTAAAAATGTTAATTTATGAATGGATGCAATTGTGATTTAGACGTTATGGGACTTTTTTTTATACAATAATTTTTTCTTTAAAAAAAAGGTTTGAAGATTTATCATCTTTAAAATATAGTGTTCATACATAGACAAAAAAAATTAAAATCAATACAATATTTAGATAGAGTCTTGAAATTTCAAAATTAGTTTAGATTAAAATTTAATTAATATAAAAAAAAGAAGTTCATATGTCATCAATGACATTACCCTAAAAATATCTTGAGTTTCAAATCAAAATACATCTCTTTTGTTGATTTTGGAAACTTTCTCATTGTCATTGTCTCACTTTGTGGTGATGAGGAAAAAGGAAGGCTTACTAATTGGGAGAAGAATAGTTTCAAAAAATGGGGAAATGATTTGAAGTCTCCACATGGGATTTTACATCACAAATGGGCAAAGTGTGATTAGCCATTCTTTATCTCAATCTCTTCTTTTTGTTATCAAATGAGTGTCATCCTTTTGTGGATCCCCACATTGAGTCACTCCATCACTCTCCATGGAATATATATATATATATATATATATACACACACATATATATACATGCAAGCACACACATGTCATGTAATGAATGAAGCTTGTAAATATTCAAACATTGAGATGCTTAATGATATATCAACATCTATATATGGAGGAACAACTGAGATATTATTTGAAAAGTTTAGGCCGTGAAATTAATATATATGTATATATATGAACCTACATAGTTTCTTATTTTATGATATCAATAAATGGAGAAAAAAATTAGAATAGTTTCCACTTACAATTCTTCTCCAAGTTCAATTGTAAAATTTAGCCTTCATTATAAAATACAGTTATAATTATATCCAAAACTATTGTTTTTTTTTTGTAACGAATCCAAAACTATTGTTATATCTAATATATAAACGATTAGATTACGGATTAATTTAAAATGAAATATAGAAACGAAAACCAAAAGAAATGAATCGCAGCATACAGCATTTTATGTATTTGGTTAATAATAATGTCGGTTTTGTTCATGATTATATATTAAAAAAAAAAATAATCTCTAAGCTAGGAGAAAACAAAAACAAAAGGAAGAATAATAAGAAATAAAAATCGAGTTTTCAACCTCTGAAACAAACCGGGCATCAAACAACCCTTTTTATAATTTGATTACCAAATTTACCCGGTTTACTTAATTAGCTAGTTCAATCTTCGTTTGGTCTCGTCCGAAGCTTCTCCTTCAATCAGCGGTTTCTTCTTCTTTCTTTTTTTTTTCCTGTCCTACAACATCTAACACTCAACTTCAACACAAAAACTAATTTTATTTAACAAAAAAAAAGTCGAATCTAATACTGAAATAATGCGCATAGATGAAAAAAAATAAAATAAAATTAAACTTAAGTTTATACTATTTTGTATAAAATGTAAATGCTTAGTTGAATAAAAGGTAAACGCCAAGTATTATGCTTACATGCACTCACACTTCTACTACGGTTCAGATTATGAAATTAAAAAACTTTAACAAGTGATAAATATCCCAAAAAAATGCATAAATATCTGAATAAATATTTCAAACAGAAATATGTAATCAAACAAATATAATTTCAATAAATCGTACGGCTGTACAAAAGATATCGTACGTGTAATATTAATAATATGAGAGATTAGACATGTGATTGGGACTAACTAGTTATTTTTTTTAATTAAATTAAAAGAAGGGCCACCACATAAAACTGTTTTAGGAGCAAGTCTAATTATGGGAGACATATGGCTTTATTTATATAATACTAACCAACATAATTTTGGTCTCACAAAGTTATAACATTTATATTTTTTGGATTATGCGGTTTCTGATTTGATTCCTTCTTGGTTACTATGTTGCAATATAGTTTTGGAATTACTTTAAAATTTATTATTTATATATAAAAATTCTCTATGCTTGATACTAATGGTATTAAGATCATTATTCATTCGAAATATAATATATCTAAATGGAATAAAAATAAATAAATAAATATCTTTATATTATTTTGAATGAAAATCGGGCTAAAATTAAATAAATATAATTTTGAAAAAATTAAAAAGTTAAAATAAATATTATATTAAATTTTCGTTTTCTACATATATATATATATAATTATATGTATTCAAGTTTGATGGAGGCAGATATATTATTGAACTCTATTTTAGGAACAAAAAATATCTCTAACCAAACCCTAATGGAGAGGTACATGTTCATGTCATGGGAGTTTTTTTTTTTTTTTTGTTTGTAAATTGAGAATTTGAAATATTACTATATTGAATCAAATGCTTATCATAAAAGAGAAAAAAAAAGGGAAGTGACATGCCTTTTAAACAGTAATATGGTCACATGTTTAATGATGTTATAAACAGGCAAAACCAAAATAAGTTAAAAGCCTCAAAATGTAATTGGCTACTAACCGACATGATTGAACAAGACCGGTCCACACCCTAACGTTACCGAATTATTGCCTTTATTTAATTATTTGTTTTCCTCTTCCAAATAAATCATTTATAATTCGCTCCTTTATGAACTAATAAATTATGGGGTATAAGAAGAAACAATAAATTTTAATTTCCAATGTCGCATAAGAAAATTGGCCATTGTAAAGTGAGATTTCATTTAATGCGTTCGATGGTAAAGTTTGAAACAAACGACTATACTTATAATATTACAACATTACAAATTTAATTTACAAATATTATGTTATATATATACTTCCACGATATATATATATCAGTTAGAACTTGTAGTCTTACATGTTTTTTCTTATATATATATTATAATTGAAATCAAAACTATATTATACAAAGAACGGGTGATTTTTTTTTTTATCATAAGAATACAATTATAATAAAATTGAAATTTTATGCATTTATATCTATTTCTCTAAAAATAATATTAAATATAGTATGCTTATATTTTTTTAGAAACAATGATCATGATTGTAACTTTAACCTAAAACGCCATTTAAATACGATAAAGATTTAGATTAAACTTGTCGATTTTATTTCTCGATATAAACACAGATTTTTAAAATAGAATTTTTGTATTGAATGTTACGAAAAAAGGAGGAATATAAGTAGATATTTATTTGTGCAACTAATATATACACTAACATCAATTTTTTGTTCAATTTAAATGGCTAAAATAATACTATATACATTTTTTAAAATTGTTAAAAAAACATAACTTTAAGTTTGTGCATTTATGGAACAGTAACCAAAATACATAATTTTCTTCATAGTTATATATTATATTTCATACTTTATATTTTTTTGTTGTCTCGGTTGTGTTCCACACGCGCGCGGGTAGACGAGTGGGGAAGGGAAGAGATCTCGGGAGACGAGAAACTGGCTGAAAAAAACGGGAAAGCGTGGGGAGTTGAATGCCGGGCCTTACCGAATCTCTCGCATAACGTACCTCCTAAATTCTATATTATTCAATAAATCTCAGTTAGACCCTCTTATTGTTTCTTATTTCCAAAATCATCCATATATTTATGATTCTTTCATAAAGGCCCCCATATATATTTACCCGTGCGTTACGTCTCATAAGCGTATTTCTTGAATTTGTTTAACCATCTATTCTACGTGTTACGTAAAATATTACATTCCATCATTTGCGTGTTAATCTGTCACAGTTTATTTATTTATTTTATATTTCTTTACTATATTCTGATTTTATTTTTCAAAGTTTTTAGATATTAATTCATAAGAGTATTGATTTTCAAATTTATGCGTAAGATTATGTTTTCTAGATTTTTTGAATTGATTGTAATTTATTTAGTCATTTATAAATTTATTTCTGACATTAGCCATTTATTTAATGTTAATAAATTTTGCAACGAATATTATGTGCCAAAATCATTTAAATCTGACACGTGTCAGATCGTGGGACATCAAACCAGTCCCGGGGGTCCTCCCCCCACGCCGATCCACACTACCTCAAACATCCCACGGTCCATACTATATTTGTAATAAATGAACATATTAAATTATATCAAACTTTTTTTATTATCCTTATTATTGAACTCAACGATATATATAATCAATCAGTAAAATGTTTCAATAAAGAAAGCATACATACAGTTTAAAAAATAACATATCCGTTTTCTCTTAAAATATTCGCAAAAATATAAAAATTAAACCATTTATGTTATGATTAAATTATAACCGATACGTTCTAGTATAGTGTTCTTAGTCTTCATAAATTTTAGTACGTAAAACTTGTGATTATAAAACATCAAAAGAGCACTGAAATTTCTTATTGATAATAATTATTATTTAATTAATATGTTTTTACATGGTAGATTTTTTTTTTCGTGGGCAGTGTGCTACATTTTCCCTTCATGGTTTATTTATTTGATTATTTTTCCTTCGATGAGTCATTTTCATTAAACAAAATGCAAGGAAATGACGCGTCGAAGAAAAAAAAGAGTACTAGGAAACGGATCTTACAAATTTCCCTTGAAAATATTAAGCCATGTATTTATTGTTATCATGTAATCGAAATCATTATCCTCGTCAATATATATATATATATATATATACAATTGGATATTGGATTACACAAGTTCTATTTCCAATGAAATTAATCATATACTGATTCTTGTCTCGAATTATATTGTCAAATTTCATATATTTCCGAATCTTTTACTATATTCGAGATTAGCCTTGGGAGGTATAGGGGTTTAACAGCGTAACATTGGCATTAATTACTTAATCAAAAATTAATCCCATGTGGGTTGGAAGTGATTTTACAAGCAAGTGTTGTATATATATATATATATATTTATGTGGGTTCGTATCAAATATGACAAAGATATTATGAGTACTAATTAAACCAATCATTGTGTTTAATTAGGAGCATAATCCGTTTTGGATGTCCATCAAAGATCGCTAATCATAGTTCCTTATGAAGATTGCGTTGACTCTAATTATCCCCTTTTTTTTTAATATTGAAAAAGGGGTCTTTTTCATTTAACTGTTCAAAGTCTTTGTTATTTCATTGTAAAAAAAGGGGAAAAAGTAATCGTTAAATCTGTCACAGTTTATTTATTTATTTTATATTTCTTTACTATATTCTGATTTTATTTTTCAAAGTTTTTAGATATTAATTCATAAGAGTATTGATTTTCAAATTTATGCGTAAGATTATGTTTTCTAGATTTTTTGAATTGATTGTAATTTATTTAGTCATTTATAAATTTATTTCTGACATTAGCCATTTATTTAATGTTAATAAATTTTGCAACGAATATTATGTGCCAAAATCATTTAAATCTGACACGTGTCAGATCGTGGGACATCAAACCAGTCCCGGGGGTCCTCCCCCCACGCCGATCCACACTACCTCAAACATCCCACGGTCCATACTATATTTGTAATAAATGAACATATTAAATTATATCAAACTTTTTTTATTATCCTTATTATTGAACTCAACGATATATATAATCAATCAGTAAAATGTTTCAATAAAGAAAGCATACATACAGTTTAAAAAATAACATATCCGTTTTCTCTTAAAATATTCGCAAAAATATAAAAATTAAACCATTTATGTTATGATTAAATTATAACCGATACGTTCTAGTATAGTGTTCTTAGTCTTCATAAATTTTAGTACGTAAAACTTGTGATTATAAAACATCAAAAGAGCACTGAAATTTCTTATTGATAATAATTATTATTTAATTAATATGTTTTTACATGGTAGATTTTTTTTTTCGTGGGCAGTGTGCTACATTTTCCCTTCATGGTTTATTTATTTGATTATTTTTCCTTCGATGAGTCATTTTCATTAAACAAAATGCAAGGAAATGACGCGTCGAAGAAAAAAAAGAGTACTAGGAAACGGATCTTACAAATTTCCCTTGAAAATATTAAGCCATGTATTTATTGTTATCATGTAATCGAAATCATTATCCTCGTCAATATATATATATATATATATATACAATTGGATATTGGATTACACAAGTTCTATTTCCAATGAAATTAATCATATACTGATTCTTGTCTCGAATTATATTGTCAAATTTCATATATTTCCGAATCTTTTACTATATTCGAGATTAGCCTTGGGAGGTATAGGGGTTTAACAGCGTAACATTGGCATTAATTACTTAATCAAAAATTAATCCCATGTGGGTTGGAAGTGATTTTACAAGCAAGTGTTGTATATATATATATATATATTTATGTGGGTTCGTATCAAATATGACAAAGATATTATGAGTACTAATTAAACCAATCATTGTGTTTAATTAGGAGCATAATCCGTTTTGGATGTCCATCAAAGATCGCTAATCATAGTTCCTTATGAAGATTGCGTTGACTCTAATTATCCCCTTTTTTTTTAATATTGAAAAAGGGGTCTTTTTCATTTAACTGTTCAAAGTCTTTGTTATTTCATTGTAAAAAAAGGGGAAAAAGTAATCGTTATTTGATTGATGAACGATCTTCCAAATCTTATCTAATGATTTCTCACACACACATATATATATATATATATATATATATATATATATATATATGTGCGTGTATATATATACATATGATTGATGAATTCTACAAAATTATTTTGCAAATAGTTTTAAAGTTGAATTTTTTCACCAAAGTAAATTATTTTTTTTAATAATGATTTTTGGTTTATAGATGTATGGAAATATAAGTCTGCAATCTAAGCGGATTCGGTAAGTTCATCACGTTCCTAAATTACCATAAAGCCACCGTCTTTAATTTCCAACTTCGCTCCCAACCCCTATTTGATTCAGCTCATACATACATACATACATACATACATACATACATACATACATACATACATACATACATACATATACATCCATACATACATACATATATGCTTTGTGTAAAGCCTTTATATAGCCTGACCGTAATTGCTTAGTCAGTCTCTCATTTAAGCAATCTCTCTCTCTCTCTGAATCTCTGAGAAATTTCTCAGTTTCAGAGCTGTGGTTTCTTCTTCTTCTTCTTCTCTCTATCATCAAGTGTATTAGCCCTAAATCTGCATGCTCGATCTGATGATCTTTGATCTCCATCTCCTTATTCCCCGCTGCTTCTGATTTCTATCAGATTCGGAAGTCGGAGATGAATGTGCTTGGTCTCATGGGTCTGTGATCGAGATCGATAAGGCCGTTGCGATCGGTGAAGAGAGAGAGAGAGAGAGAGAGACACTCACACACACGAATATTGGAGGCGAAAATGCGGGTGAAGGAGCTGCATCCTCTCTGCTGTGTCTCTCTGGAGAGTCCCCACGGGATCGGCGACGATCCGCCAGACACGGCGGCGCCGTTGACGAGGTCGAGGAGCCTTCCGGCGACGGCGGTGGCAGCGGCGATCGGTGGATCCGACGGGAAGAGGCAGAAGGCGGCAGGATCCGAAGCGGAGACGGTGGCCGGGATCCTCTACAAGTGGACGAACTTCGGGAAGGGATGGAGATCCCGGTGGTTCCTCCTCCGCAATGGTATCCTGTCGTACTCCAAGATCCGGAGGCCGGAGAATATGAATCTCCTCTCTCCGGCGGAGGATGTGAGGCTGATCGGAGATATTTCCACCAGTCGTCTCTCGAGGATGAATAGCTGCAGCGGACGCCGGAAACAGCACAAAACCGTTGGCATTGTTCATCTCAAGGTATATATGCATACGTACATACATATTTATACTGTACACATACGCAGTCTCCATTGCTGCGTGTTCAGAGAGACTTGAATTTGATTTTGAAATCAATTTGAAATATACCCATGGTTTCGCTCCCCCCCCCCCCTGTTGAATTGTTGATTTCTGAAAAAATTTCACCTGAGAATATCCATTCTCGTGATTTATTGATTTCCGTTCTTTATGTTGCTTTAAATGTTTGCTTGTTTTCCCTGGAATCTGATTTCTGGGGAAACGAAACGACCCTTCCCAAACGCAGATCAGGGCGAAGAACCGTTGGTTCCCGGTGTTGTGAAATAAAAATAAAACCCTAAATGGGACTTTCTGACAAAGAAGGAATCCTAATTAATTGTTTTGCCTCCATGTATGACTTTTCACCATCGTCACCATCGTCTTCCTCCCTGCTTGCTTTCTCCGTAGTTTGTTTTTTGTTCTCTCTCGATTCTCGTCTTTCGTATTTTATTATAATCCCTCTGGTATTCTACAGCTTTTAACTTGCTGTTAATCTGCAGTGGGTCACATCAACAGGTGCCTGTTTGTTTGTTTCAATGTTTAAAAAGGATTTGTCTTTTAATAATTTTCGCTGGTGCTGTGATCTGGTGTTGTAGGTCTAGGGTTTTATCATACGGTCGCATTGTTTTTCCGATTGGTAATTCACTGTTCGACATCACCTTCAGTTTTTTTTTTTGGCATTTTGATAATTCATTCCTCTTTTTTTTTTCCAGTTTCATCTCATCGTTGATCCGTCAACTTTTTGGGGTTTCTTTGTTCTTTGTTCTCTTTTAATTTTCTTTTGGGTAAAAAGCCAAGAAGCGCATAGATTTGTCAACTTCGGTTACTAATCTGTGAGCTTTTTCATTTGAGGCATCATTATTTTACTAAAAACATCAAGTTTTAATTTTTTTTCCTTCTGTACTCCCAATTTGTTCTTTGTTTTTCTCCCCTTTGCATGCGCCTTACTGTTGTGACCGGTCTTGACAAAGCTACTAATAAATCTTTATGCTTTTCTTATCTTTTTCTTTGGAACTCTCTTTGGGCAAAAAAGACCAACTTTATTATCTGTTTTATTTTTCTTCTGTTTAACCGGAATGGAATTATGTGCATGATATATTCTATGGTTCCGTTGGCGGTTGCCTTTATTATATGTTATAGTCTTTGGATTTGGCAAAATGATTGGTGAATTGTAGAGCTAGTCTGTAGGAAATGATGGAGTGTGGGGTACTTAAGGCCACCTCATGGAGCTTTGTCAAGTATGAGGACTATTGTATTCCATGTTTGACAGAATCAGTAGACGATGGGGCATGTTCTTAATTTTTCAGGGATTTTCTTGCTCAGCCTCTAATATTAATCCCTTAAAATCAAATACTTCATCAATGCTGGTCCAAAAACCATCTTTCAACTTATTTGCAAGGGGGTCGCTTTGCTTTCCAAAAATACATATAAATATTGATTTCTTGTGTGTTTGCTTTTGTAGTTTGAAAGAACATGATCATGATGATCTTCGTTTCTTTGCAAATCGTTTCGAGGCTTGGGCCAGTAATTAGATGGGTATTCTTCATTGTTTTTTTCAGCAGATTTCATCTTTCCGGGAAAGCAAATCTGATGATAGAAAGTTTTATATATTTACTGCTACCAAAACCCTTCATCTGAGGACAGATTCTAAGAGTGATAGAGCAGCATGGCTGCACGCTTTAAAGTCTACAAGAAGCTTGTTTCCACTCCGGTCACTTGATGGGAGTTTTCCCCTCATATCTCCAAAAGATTTATCCATATCGACTGAGAGGCTGAAGAAGCGTTTACTTGAAGAGGGAATGAGTGAGAATCTTGTAAAGGACTGCGAGCAGATTGTGCTCTCGGAGTTCTCCGAAATACGAGGACAGCTTAACCTTCTACAAGAAGAACGGACGACTTTGCTTGATGCTTTGAGGCAGCTGGAGGTAAAATTGATTAAATCTTCTCCTTGATATTGCTTTGGCTTCTTTGAGCTGCTTATGATGGTCTGGGACTCTTGGAAATTGGTTTATTTTTTCTTTTGACTCAAACCCACTTCAGTTTGTGTGCATGGTTAAACCCTTGAGCATACATAGGCTAGGCGACAAGCTATATGTGCCATGTTACTTGCAACTGGAAATTTCATCTAGTCCCTGGTGATGTTTGAGTTTGGTTGCGGAGCTCGAGAACGAGTTATTGGATTTTGGTGGCTAGGATCGTATCATGCAATTCAACCCATTAGGCCAAAGTTTCCTGATCTGTTTATGCTTGATTGAAATAGCAATCAGGATAATCACTTTCGTGTTATAGAAGAACCTAGTTTTTTAACACTTTTTAAAAATCAATTGATTTTCCTTGTGTTTTTTTTTTCCTTTCCTTTTGAATTCCTGAACGAGAAGGGCAGCAAAATGGTAAATTGTTGCGGTAACATGGTTGAAATTCACAAGGAGTCCTATTTTCTGCTCTTGACATCTTAAGCAGATTGTAGTCATACTAGCCGGCCCAAAGCATTGAAGATATATGGAGACTAGGTTGCTAAGATTTTGGATGAATATTGATTGCGTTGAACGTGTGTGTTCACTTTCCTACTATCTATCTTTAAAGGGGACGGGTCAAGTGATCAACATGGGTTGTCCACAGCGTTGAGAAATTCTTAATTTGATACATCTTATGAAAGATCTTATTCATGTTCTTGTATCAATTTACTAATTTCTAAGGATAGACATCCTGTGGGTGTTATTTGTCACTTTTCAGCATCTGTTGAGGATAAGTGTTTCACATCATATGCAGTATAAATATGTTGGCTATTCTTTTGTACAGGCAGCTAACCTCGAAGCTGAAGCTTCAGGGATCCATGACAGTGTCTACCAGTTAACAAAGCATGGATTTTCCAGCCTTGGTCGTGGAAAATATAGTGGTACCAACAATATCTGTTGCTTAATGCCTCTCTTATTCCCTTTCTATCTCTCTCTGCCTCTCTCTTTACTCTGACATGCAAATCTCTCCAGCATTTCCACCCAAGAAAAGTTGAAAAAAAACTCTGCCTAGTTTTGAGTTTTAGTCCATGCATGCCAAGGATAGCATGACAATGCCATTTCAGCATCTGTTATCACCTTTCTCGATTCACGTTTTGTTCTTTTCTTTTCTTTTCTTTTTTTGTAAAGACGTCTGAGGATTTGCACAGGGCTTCTTTTGTGGTTTACTTGACATTTTTTTTGGTTTCTAGAGTGCAGCACAACCGCTTCATCTGATGATATCGAGAAACAAGAGTTTGAGGATGTGTCTGAGGAAGATGAGCCTTCCTTCCATGACACAAAGGAGTATTTTGCTGAATCCGATGTTGGTTCTGAATGTACGAATATCAAGAGAAGAACAAAGCTTCCCGATCCAGTGGAAAAAGAGAAAGGTGTAAGTCTTTGGTCTATGATCAAAGATAATGTTGGAAAGGATCTCACACGAGTTTGTCTCCCTGTCTATTTCAATGAACCGATATCATCTCTCCAAAAGTGTTTCGAAGACTTGGAATATTCTTATCTTCTTGACCGAGCGTATGAATACGGAAAATCAGTAAGTCTACACGAAGAACTTCAACATATAAAATACATTTGCCTCCTTTGACATGTAATTTACTTTCCTATGGTTAGTGCAAGCTTTTGCTCTATTTGACTGAAATTCTTTACCGGTCTTCTCCTTCTTAACTTTCTCTTATTTGGCTAAAGGTAGAGACGTCAAGAACACATTATGCATCTAAGATTTCCAATGCATTCCCCTCAAATATCATATACTTGTTTGATCTTTGCATATTTGTGAAATCCAGTTATTCTCTTCTATGCTCTGTTTGTCTTGGATTCAACTCTTTGCCTGTTGGATTAACTTAAGTTTACTTTATCAGGGGAACAGTCTACTGAGAGCCCTGAATGTTGCTGCATTTGCGGTCTCTGGATATGCTTCCACTGAAGGCCGACACTGTAAACCCTTTAACCCTTTGCTCGGAGAAACTTATGAAGCTGACTATCCTGAGAAGGGGGTTCATTTCTTCTCTGAGAAGGTATTTCTTCACATACTTTATACATTAAGTGAAATATGTCTGTTGTGGTACTGATAACATTTCCTCTGAAGATATCGTTGGCTTTGCAACTTTTTTGGAAAAGTCAATAAGGAAAGACTTTCAATTCGAAACTCCCGACTCTATATTCACAGTTCAACTCCATTTCATTTGTAGGTTAAGAGTTCTTAGGATGCATGCTTTGTGTAGAACATCCATATTACATGCTCTGGCAAAGTCATCCTTCTTCCTGCCAAATCTTATTGCAAGCTCTTTGATTTGAGAGCTCTAAATTTTATGCACACTTGTATGCAGGAAAAAAAAATCTTGAGAAGTATGGATTATAACTCTACTTTGGTTATCTGTTCTTATTATAGGTGAGCCACCATCCAACTGTTATCGCCTGCCACTGCGAAGGTAAAGGGTGGAAGTTCTGGGGTGACACGAACCTCCGGTCAAAGTTTTGGGGCAGATCTATTCAAGTTGACCCTGATGGAGTTCTGACTCTGGAGTTTGATGATGGAGAAATGTTCCAGTGGAGCAAGGTACATTAACAGTGAATTCCAACCCCTTTGCTCATTTATGTTTTCGGCATTGAGATATAACCCTATATTTTATCTTGTCCTTAGGTAACAACAACTATATACAATATAATACTAGGTAAACTGTATTGCGATCACCATGGCGTTATGGAAATCCGTGGGAATCGCCAATATTCTTGTACACTCAAGTTCAAGGAGCAATCCATTCTTGATAGAAATCCTCATCAGGTGAGTCAAAACATATATTCTTTTTCATCAAATTCTGTTTTGCTCTGTATAAGTTAATCAGTACACATGTCGATTTTAGCCGATATTTTTTTTCCTGAATATCTGAGTAACAACTTGATCGGTTATATAGGTTAACGGTTTTGTAGAAGACGTTAATGGGAAAAAGGCTGCGACGATATTTGGTAAATGGGATGATAGCATATACTATGCTGTCGGTGATGGAATCAGCAAGACGAAAGTCGCTGATCCCACAGTAAATGACTCGTTGCTGTGGAAAAGGACCAAACCACCTCCCAATCTCACTAGATACAACTTAACATCGTTTGCCATCACTCTAAATGAGCTGACACCTGGTCTGCAGGTACATATGTTTGTGTTACATGAATTCCAGTTTCTTGTTAGATGTTATATTTAGTAGTTTTCTTCTGAAAAATTGTCTAAACTTGGGGCGGATTTTGATTCTATGGATTAAGGAGAAACTCCCTCCCACAGATTCCAGGCTCAGACCAGATCAGCGTCACCTCGAGAACGGGGAGTATGAGAAGGCAAACGGAGAGAAGCAACGGTTAGAGAGAAGGCAAAGGATGGTATATAATCTGAACGCTACAAATCGATGGTAGAATGGAATTCTGATTGTTATATATATAATCCGTTATTAATATCTTGCATTCTGCAGTCACGGAAACTTCAGGAAAGCGGGTGGAGGCCGAGATGGTTCGAGAGAGATGGAGAGAACGGAACCTTCAAGTACACGGGCGGATACTGGGAGGCACGAAAACAGAGGAGTTGGGTGAATTGCCCTGACATATTCGGGGAGTTCACTGAAGAGCTTTGATCTGATCATGCTGAAAGCTTTTTTGGGTTTGGCCTCAGGTACACAACTGGATATATATATTTTCATGAACATCTCAACCCGAGGGGTAAGCGGGTATTTGTTTCTCACATATTATAACCAAAGTATTGGTCTTTATTACAGGCAGTCTCTGATATGTGAAATCTTCACTCAACACTGTTTCTAATGGGAAAGAGAGGATAGACTTTTGAAATGTCCGAGCAGAACCTGATCGATTCAGACATGGAAAAACTAAGCTTTTAGGGTTTCTGTCTTCAAAGAAAGAATCCTGAGAAGAACCAAAAGAGGGGAAATATTATTTTTTTTTTCAGATCAGAGATTCTTCTTTGTGTAACGATGTTGTAAAGTCACTCGACACAAAGTACTCTCTCTCTCTTCACGTAGTTTGGTCTCACAAGAGATAGTTAGCCCTTTGATTGAGAAGACAAACATTGGACTGGATGTTCTTTGTGATCTATTTTGTATTTAGTTCATTTAATCTCTGATGAATAAATAGAGGCAGACACGATCTTTCATTTCACTCCTATATATATGTGTATATATGTGTGTGTGTGTGTGTGTGTGTACATATATATATTGAATTAGTTCGTAGACTGGTTTTGTGGAATGTGAAATTGTGTTGATGATGGGTACAAACGCATTTGAGGGTTAACCAATCAAAAACCGACCTGGAAACCGGACTGCCAACCCTCTTGAGTCATAGGTTATATCATTTGGTATGAGAGATTGAGCCGTGCCTTTGTAGGTATGTCTCTCTTCGTTTTCTACGTATGCAATTTAAACGAATGAACTGATACAAACGATTAAAATGAATGTTTTATGTTCTACACAAAAACTCAGTCTAATCTCGTAACCGAAATCAACCATATGATTTGAAATATACACTTCATCCCCAGATCCGGGGCAAGACAGACGATTTATATCCCATTTCACCGGTTGAATTATCCAAGTTTAGGGTACATTAGTTTAGTTGTTTGAATAAAATAAGACTCTAGGATTTGTTTATTCATTGTTTTCTACTTCACCACACAATCTTTTTTTTTATGTATAAGATTTTTACTTGGAAAGAAATATTATATTGATCGTTCATGACACACAATCCATAAAACACAAACAAAAAAGAGATCAAAACGTGTAAAAGAAGTACCAACTCTTTTTTTTTTTTATTACACGCTACTTTTATTGCAACATATGCTCATCTTTTTGCTCAAAAAAACAAACATACAAAGTACAAGAAGCAACATACTTAAACGATTCAGGCAGGCAAAGCGCATACACTCATGCTTGTTTATTACATTATTCATTCGTTATAATATATATATTAGGGTTTTAACATTTGTAAAGGCAGTCTGTTTCATCACTGGATGCGAGCGCAAACATTTCGGACGAGGCGGACGAAGTCAACATTAGGGAGACGGGTACCGATGACACTAACCCTGACTGAGGCATCGACGCAAGCAGTGTTCTGTGACTCGGTCAGGCCTCTCACGAGGCTGCAGCAGTTACTGAGACTGGGTGCAGGCACTGGTACTCCAACTCCCACGCCGATTCCGCCATTGTTTACACCGACGTTGACAGTGGCATTGTTGACAATGTCAGTGACAGCGGTGACGAGTTCAGTGGCGCAGCTCCTAACTTGGAGGAGACTCCTCGGACAAACAGAAACGGAAAGTACTCCGTGAGCGGTTTTGGGGAAGTGGGAGAAGAGGAGGATGTTGAACGCTAGGACAAGAATCATCCTGGTCGAGCACTTCGATGCCATGTCTTTGGGAATGGTGAGTGATGTTTCTCTTTCTTTTTTTGGTTCTTGTTTTTTTTTTTTGGCAACTTTGTGAGATGGGTGTGAAGAGAATGGGAGTGAGGTTTGTGGGTATATATAGTGTGAGAAACTTGATTAAAGAATGGCAGTGGGTAATTAATTTGAGTGCCGAACCTATCTCTTTAGACGCCATTTTAGATCAAACTTCTCATACTTTATTCCAATAAGCAAATCTTGAAAAAAAAAAAGATAAACAAAACATAAATTCAATCAAAATTTAGCCCCCAAACAGTTTTACTTAGTCCTCGAGATGAAAATCAGAACACGGTTAGGAACATCTCGCTCGAACTCATGAATATGTGGTTTGTCTCCATGGCTCGTTAAACTGCGTCAGTCCACGTCGTAATTCTCATGCAAAACCTAACAAAAAATAGATTCCAATCCAACCATGACACTGTATCACTCCTTTTCCGTCTCATGTTCGAAACTTTGTCGCACCGGTTAAGTTGTTGATGTTGTGACTTAGAGATCACGGGGTTCGAGTCCTGGAAACATCCTTCCCCGCACCCCCTCCCAACGGGATGCTTTGTGTAACCGGCTGACCTTTTGTTGTTATGGCCCCCCACTGAAACCTCTTCATTGAACTTTTGCTTTTGTGGGCTTTCTTCACGTGTCCGTATACAACCCATCTGATTGCGCCTCTTTATCCACTTTGAAACGCACACACACTAGTAGTTCAACCTCGTTGCCTCGTCCCCATTCAGTAGGTTCCTCTGTGATTGGTTCTTGCCCTCATTTCCCATTGTTGAATTACTGGTTTTCGGCTGCTGTCACTGGTGCCACTGCCTGGTTTCATGACACTTTCCAATCAGATCAAACCATAACAAAAACCTGACTCCTAAACTGAAACTGCCCACCCTCTAAGTCATAGGATAGAAATCAAATCTATGCATGAAACCAAACCCCAAAGGCTTTTCTCGAGAGAGCTCTAGTCTCCAAGCTTCATCTAAAGAGATAGGTTTGGCACTCAAATTAAATTACCCGCTACCATTCTTCAGTCAAATCTTCACACACTATATATACCCACAAACCTCACTCCCATTCTCTTCACACCCATCTCACAAAGTTGCCAAAAAAAAAAACAAGAACCAAAAAAAGAAAGAGAGAAACATCACTCACCATTCCCAAAGACATGGCATCGAAGAGCACGACCAGGATGATTCTTGTCCTAGCGTTCAACATCCTCCTCTTCTCCCACTTCCCCAAAACCGCCCATGGAATACTTGACGTAACCATTTGTCCGCGGAGTCTCCTCCAAGTTAGGAGCTGCGCCACTGAACTCGTCACCGCTGTCACCAGCATCGTCAATGGTGCCACTGTTAACGTCGGTGTAAACAATGGTGGCATCGGAGTGGGAGTTGGCGTACCAGTGCCGGCACCCAGTCTCACTAACTGCTGCAGCCTCGTTAGAGGCCTGACCGAGTCACAGACCACTTCTTGCGTCAATGCCTCGGTCAGGGCTAGTCTCCTCGGCATCCTTCTCCCTAATGTTGACTTTGTCCGCCTCGTCCGAAATGTTTGCGCTCGCGTCCAATGATTGCCCTTCGACAACAGCCTGCCTTTACAAACGCTAAAACCCTACATATATAGTATGAATAAATAACCAACGTAATAAAGGAATGTTACCTCGTTTACTTTGTATGTTTGTTTTCAGAAAAGATAAGCATATCTATTGTAATAAAAGTAAACATCTAATAAAGAGTTAGTACTTCTTTTGAACTCTTTACACATCATCTCTTCTGATTTGTGCTTTGGGGATGGTGGCATGAACAATAAAGAAGCATATAATAAGTTTGAGTCGTGACTGAGACAACAATAGGTTGAGTACATTAGCATATGACACATACAGCGAAGAATGCATACCTTTTCTTTTCTTACAAACGAAAAGCTCGGACAAAATAGAATGTATGGTACCAGTCATTTTATTGCACGATGGGTTATGAAGTCTCCTCGTTGCCTAATACTTCCTCTAGCATTTCTAAATACCCTTTCTTGGAAGTTCCTCACACCGCGGTAGAGTTATATCGAATTCCCTGAGTGGTTGCTGCCTCAAACCTTGTCCAAAGCTCCCTCTTCAGCGTACTCTCACCCGCTCATCTGTTTTTCCCTGTTGTGCTTTCAAATCCTTTACACATTGGAGTGCTCTAGACAATCACTGAACTATTTCTCTCATGCTCTGACCAAAACCTGGAAAAAAAATAACTTTGTTATGAACTCATGAACATGGTAAATCAACCTTGGTACTATTCAGTAGTGCAACCAGATGTGAAAGATTAGGAACTTATGTTCCGCCCCAAGCACGAACCTTTGATGTTTTTTGTCCCCGGTAGAAATTCTTTTCTTATCTGGACAAGCACACACGCCTAGCATATTGATGAGATCACCAGCTTCATCCGCTGCTTTTTCATCCACAGGCTCCAACATAATGCATGCTTTAGGAGGAGAAAACGACCAGTTTGATGAAGATTCAACGTTTGTTTTTCTACTTATTTGAGCATGCTGTATTCTCAAAAGCTCGGGATATTTCAGAGCTAGATCGTCTGAGTTCCCAGAATAACCAGAATCAGAGCTGTGGGATCCAGTAGAATCACTGGTTCCGAAGACATGATGGGTTGACTTACAAGCCCCTAGTTTTGCTTGATGGGGAGACCTAGAAGAAGGGCCAAGCATTGTGCAAGATTCAGGCGGTGACATCTTCAAGCGAGGGGTCATAAGAAGTTCAGACTGAGCTTTTCTTCCCTAAACTGGAGAAGAGACAGGCACAACCTCTACCGAGTTTTCATCGAGATCCATGGCATGCCTTACAGAATTACTAAGTCCTGCTTTCACCCACTCGCTTCTTACAACATCACCCCCTGTTTGCTTATAGACATCAATTTGCAGTTGTGCGCAAGTCAAATGATTTTAAAGAATGCACCATTTCCAACTTCCTACGAAATTTAGGGGTTTTGCCATTTTATTCCCTGTTTTCCCGTATTAAAACCCTATGTTTCCTCGAGTTTCTAGGATTTCAGTTCAAAAGTTCCAATCCTCACATCTACAGAACATAACTCCAATCCCTCGTTCAATCTCGAGGTTTTCCGAAACTAACAACAAGTTTCCTCATTTAGTTCCCATGTCGGGAAATCATCATCAACAAGATGGAATACGAGACGATTTCTTTGAAAAGATACTAACCGTACCACCTGGCTACAGCGGCGACGGCGGAAGCAGCGGCAGAGGAGGAGGAGAAATCGGCGGTACCTCCTCCCCTTCCTCCATGCCATGATGCTTCAGCTCGGCTCCGCAGGCGGAGGAGTCGACGGTGACGGTGGATTCCGGGGACTGAGCATGGGTCCATGAAGGGTCTTGATTTTTAATTTTAGGGTTTTATTTCTGGTTTCCCATTTTTTATGGGTTTATTGAACCATTTTAGATTTTTTAACCAATACCTGTTTTTAAATTTTTGTCTACGTGTCAATGTCATTTTGACGTATATACCCACATCAACTCCTTTTGTCTACTTTAACAATCGAGCTCAATTATTTTTTAAATCATTTAAAAAAATTAGCATTTTTTAAATATCCAAAACAATACCTAAAACTTCTCAATTTTTATAAAATAAAACCTAAACTTTATTTTTTGTCAAATAAAACCCTAACTTCATTTTTCAGTAAAAAATAAAATCGAATTTTATATTCTTTGACATTTTTAACTCGACGTGGCGTTCCGACATCTTATATGATAAGTAACCCTTTGATTGTATTTGACACATCATCGTCTATATGTCATGATATCGCAATATCACGTCACAATAGGGTTAAAAATGACAGAGATTATAAAATTCGAATTTATTTGTGACTAAAAAATGAAACTATAATTTTATTTGATAAAAAACGAAGTTTAGATTTTATTTTATGAAAATTGAGAAGTTCGCTTATTGTTTTGGGATTTTTTCTTTTTTTTGGCCAAAACAAAATCTAGTGTTCAGTTCAGTATTTTTTTTTGAGAATTTTTTCATATATATATATATATATATATATATATATAGTTAGGTCTTATTCATCCAATCATATATATATATATATATATATAAGAATTTTTAATAGATAATAAATTCAAAATTACAATGAATGCAGATTTAAATAATTATTCAATTTTAAAAAATATAATAAATTAATTTCAATACCTTATAAAACTTTGAGAATTTGACCATTAATAAATCTTAAATCAATATATATACTACTAAACATTAAGACATAGGATAGAAATCAAATCTATGCATGAAACCAAACCCCAAAGGCTTTTCAAGAGAGTGCCCTAGTCTCCGAGCTTCACCTAAAGAGATGGGTTCGGCGCTCATTAAATTACCCGCTACCATTCGTTTGTCAAAGCTTACACACACTATATATACCCACAAACCTCACTCCCATTCTCTTCACACCCATCTCACAAAAGTTGCCAAAAACAAGACAAAGAAACATCACTCACCATTCCCGAAGACATGGCGTCGAGGACCACGACCAGGATGATTCTTGTCCTAACATTCAACATCCTCCTCTTCTCCCACTTCGCCAAAACCGCCCATGGAATACTTGACGTAACCATTTGTCCGCGGAGTCTCCTCCAAGTTAGGAGCTGCGCCACTGAACTCGTCACCGCTGTCACCAGCATCGTCAACGGCGCCACTGTTAACGTCGGTGTAAACAATGGTGGCATCGGAGTGGGAGTTGGCGTACCAGTGCCGGCACCCAGTCTCACTAACTGCTGCAGCCTCGTTAGAGGCCTGACCGAGTCACAGACCACTTCTTGCGTCAATGCCTCGGTCAGGGCTAGTCTCCTCGGCATCCTTCTCCCTAATGTTGACTTTGTCCGCCTCGTCCGAAATGTTTGCGCTCGCGTCCAGTGATCGCCCTTCGACAACAGCCTGCCTTTACAGACGCTAAGACCCTATACATATATCGTATGAATAAATAACTAAAGTAATAAAGGAATGTTACCTCGTTTACTCTGTGTGTTTGTTTTGAGCAAAGATAAGCATATCTTTTGTAATAAAAGTTGCAGCTAACAAAGAGTTACTACTTCTTCTGAACTTTACACACATCACCTCTTCTGATCTGTTCTTTGGGTTTGGGGATGGTGGCATGAACAATAAACAAGCGAGAAGAATGCCTAGTTTTTTTCCTTAGAGCTCGAACATTAGCATATAACACTAGACTTTAAAAAAAAACCCTAAACTTTTTAAATGATTTTAAAAAAATATTTGAACTCTTCGACGATTATCAAATTAGACAAAACGAACTCATGTGATATCCAAAAGTGCAAACATGGCGTGTGAAAATTTATTCCATTTTGCCACGTCGGTATACACGTTAGAATGATATTGACACGTAAACAAAAATATTAGTTTAGGATTAAGCAGGAAATCCCAACTGGTTCACTAAACCTATACAAAAAAAATAAGAAACAAAAAATAAAATTCTAAAGTTCAGAAATTCAGGAAACTGAAAGCTTGAGGGCTTTGGTCTCAATTTGTGCAGATTCAAAAAAAGAGAAAAAAGATCTAATGTTTGTCCGAGTTTTTCTTCGAGGGTTTTGTTGGAATCACAACTCTGTCAACGCAGGAGCTTGCTCTTGTATAACCGATCTCAAACCCGTATAAAAGAGGAGGGTTTTTGTGATAGTTTGGCAACCCGCAAAAGAAAACAAATATCAAGTCTCGTATGCAATAAATTCACAAGTTTCAAGACGTAACGAGTAGAATGAATGAAGAGTTTGGGATTAAAGCGAAGTTGAAAGTTCAAGGTCAAGTTTTGTTGGAATCACACATTCAAGACGGACCCATGTACTGGTTGTTGTCCTTTTGCTTAAATGGATTCAAAAATTTCATCTTTCATGTGAATTTCTTTAGTTTTGAGTTTTGTTCTAACAATTCTTAGGATCTGAGCGAGTCAAATGATTTTAAAGAATGCACCATTTCCAACTTCCTACGAAATTTAGGGTTTTTGCCATTTCATTCCCTGTTTTCCTGTATTAAAAACCCCATGTTTCCTCGAGTTTCTAGGATTTCAGTTCAAAAGTTCCAATCATCATTTCTATTTTCTACATAACAGAATTGCAATCCCTCGTTCAATCTCTAGGTTTTCTGAAACCAACAACAAGTTTCCTCATTTAGTTCCCATGTCGGGAAATCATCGCCAACAACCTGGCTACAGCGGCGACGGCGGAAGTAGCGGCAGAGGAGGAGGAGAAATCGGCGGTACCTCCTCCTCTTCCTCCATGCCCATGATGCTTAAGCTCGGCTCCGCCGGCGGAGGAGTCGACGGAGACGGTGGATTCCGGGGACTGAGCATGGGTCTTGATTTTTAATTTTAGGATTTTATTTTTGGTTTCCCTCTTTTTTTTTTATGGGTCCAGTGAATCACTTTAGATTTTTTGGTTACTCCTAAACCAACCTTAGTTTTTTTTAATTTTTATCTACATGTCAATAGCATCATTCCAACGTTTATATCGACGTGGCAAAGCGAAATAAATTTTCGCATGCAACGGTCAATTCGTTTTGTATAATTTGGTAATTGTCGAAAAGTTCGATTATTTTTTGAATCATTTAAAAATTTAATGTTTTTTTCCCAAACAAAATCCAGTGTTTTTTTTTTCAAAATCGTAAAGTTTAACATTTTTTGGAGATTTTCCCATATTTACATGTGTGTATATATATACATTTATTCATCCAATCATATATATAAGATGCAGTATTTTAATAAATAATAAATTCAAAATTACAATGTATTTTAAATAATTATTCAAATTTAAAAAATATAATAACTTAATATTTAAATTAATTTTAATACCATATAAAACTTTGAGAATACAATTTTTTATCTATCTTAAATCAATATATGTACTTTAAATTTTGTTATCAATTTTTTATTTTTGGTTATCTCAAACATGTGTATGTTGACTATCTTGTACTTGTATTTTTGTGGTTTAGTATTCATACGTTTAAATTTTTCAGAATGTTCAAGCATGAAACTCGACCCTAAACAATACAGAAACCTGTAGGTAGGACCGAGTTTCAGGCCAAAAACTTTAGGCTCGATTCTGTTTCGGACGACCCGTAAACTTGAAGTTTTCCTCGGCTCGGGCCGGACGGACCCAACCCAACCCGAGTATTGTGACATGGGATCCATAACCCATCTGATTGCATCTTTTTATCCACTTTGAAACACGCACTAGTAGTTCAACCTCATTGCCTCTTACCCATTCAGCAGGTTCCTCAAGTGGGGGATGGATTGGTTCTTGCCCTCGTTTCCCATTGTTGAATTACTGGTTTTCGGCTGCTGTCACTGGTGCCACTGCCTGGTTTCATGACACTTTCCAATCAGATCAAACCATAACCAAAACCTGACTCCTAAACCGAAACTGCCCGCCCTCTAAGTCATAGGATAGAAATCAAATCTATGCATGAAACCAAACCCCAAAGGATTTTTAAGAGGGTGCCCTAGTCTCCAAGCTACATCTAAAGATATAGGTTCGGCACTCAAATTAAATACCCACTACCATTTTTTAGTCAAGCTACACACTATATATACCCACACCTCACTTCCATTACCTTCACATCCATCTCACAAAATTACAAAAAAAAAAGAACCGAAAAAAAAGAGAAACATCACTTACCATTCCCAAAGACATGGCATCGAAGAGCACGACCAGGATGATTCTTGTCCTAGCGTTCAACATCCTCCTCTTCGACCACTTCGCCAAAACCGCTCATGGAGTAGTTTCCATTTCCATTTGTCCGAGGAGTATCCTCCAAATTACGAGCTGTGCCCCTGAACTAATCACCGCTGTCACCAGCATCGTCAACGGCGCCAATGCCAATATCGGTATAAACAATGGTGGCATCGGAGTGGGAGTTGGCGTACCAGTGCCGGCACCCAGTCTCACTAACTGCTGCAGCCTCATAAGTGGCCTGACCGAGTCACAGACCAACGCTTGCGTCAATGCCTCGGTCACGGCTAGTCTCCTCGGTATCCTTCTCCCTAATGTTGACTTTGCCAGTCTCGTCCGAAATGTCTGTGCCCGCCTCCAGTGATCGCCCTTCGACAACAGCCTGCCCTTACAAACGCTAAAACCCTACATATGTCGTATGAATAAATACCAACCTAATAAAGGAATGTTACCTCGTTTACTATGTATGTTTGTTTTGAGCAAAGATAAGCTCTATTGTAATAAACGTAACATCTAATAAAGAGTTAATACTTCTTTTGAACTTTTTACACATCATCTCTTCTGATCTGTGCTTTGGGGACAATAAAGAAGCACGTAACACGTTTGAGTCGTGACTGAGACAACAATAGGTTGAGTACATTAGCATATGACACATACAGCGAAGAATGCATACCTTTTTTTTCTTACAAACGAAAAGCTCGGACAAAATAGAATGTATGGTACCAGTCATTTTATTGCACGATGGGCTATGAAGTCTCCTCGTTGCCTGATACTTCCTCTAGCATTTCTAAAAACCCTTTCTTGGAAGTTCCTCGCACCACTGTAGAGTTATATGGAATTCCCTGAGTGGTTGCCGCCTCAAACCTTGTCCAAAGCTCCCTCTTCAGAGTACTCTCACCCGCTCGTCTGTTTTTCCCTATTGTGCTTTGAAATCCTTTGCACATTGGTGTGCTCTCGACAATCACTGAACTATTTCTCTCATGTTCTGACGAAAACCCGGAAAAAAACAACTTTGTTAGGAATTCATGAACATGGTAAATCAAACTTGGTGCTATTCAGTAGTGCAACCAGATGTGAAAGAGTAGGAACTTATGTTCCGCCCCAAGAACAAACCTTTGATGTTTTTTGTGCCCGGTAGAAATTCTTCTCTGTTATCTGGACAAGCGCACACGTCTAGCATATCGATGGCATCACCAGCTTCATCCTCTGCTTTTTCATCCACAGGCTCCAACATAATGCATGTCTTAGGAGGAGAAAACAACCAGTTTGGTGAAGATTCAGCATCTGTTTTTCTACTTATTTGAGCATGCTGTATTCCCAAAAGCTCGGGATATTTCAAAGCTAGATCGTCTGAATTCCCACAATAACCAGATCCAGAGCTGTGGGATCCAGTAGAATGACTGGTTCCGAAGTCAGGATGGGTGGACTTACAAGCCTGTTGTTTTGCTTGATGGGGAGACCTAGAAGCAGGGTCAAGCATTGTGCAAGATTTAGGGGGTGACATCTTCAAGCAAGGGGTCATAAGAAGTTCAGACTGAGCTTTTCTCCTGTAAACTGGCGAAGACACAGGCACAATCTCTACCAAGTTTTCATTGAGATCCGTGGCATGGCTTACAGAATTAATAAGTCCTGCTTTCGTACACTCGCCTCTTACAACATCAGCCCCTGTTTCCTTGTAGACATCAATTTGCAGTTGTGAAGCAGCATCCAATGTCATCCTTTCAGTCATCGGTTTAGATGATTTTTGATATTTGGAAGATTGATTCTTGCCTACCGCAAGTGGTGTCAACACGAAGAGTTGTTTACCCTTATCGATATTAAGGTCACCTCGCCATGACACAAGAGGAGAGGGGGAGATCAACGAATCAAACTTAGTATGCTCAGGGCTCTCAACTTCCAGTAGTTCTTCTTCACTCAGATGTGCACAACTACTGCTCATGAGAGATAGTTCCTTCCGATCTTCAGCCTGTAAGGAAGTGTCGGATATTGCTTTGTGTAATCGAGGAACCCAGGGCTGCAACTTCGAGAAGACAACCCCTTTAACTCGTACCATGACCAGTGGAAACAAACAATGCAGAAGAATCAGTATAAAGAAGCTAGAAAAGTAATACGACCTTTAGAGAAGTAAGCATATCAGACAGGACACATCTGAAAGATTCGATTTCTGCTGTCCCGTGTTTGCTCACGGTCCTAAGATTGGTGGCTTGCACAACGAGTTCATCAATCTGAATCCAAAAGAGATATAAGTCACAACACAGAGCACAATCACAATAAAAAATAGTTCTGCAATCGAAGAGTAAAATGAAATATCCTTAGTTCAGTGATGCCGATCAGATATAGAAAACCAGATATCAAACACCTATCACTCTATTTACATCTACTACACACGTACACAAAGATTCATGAAGAAACATCTAGTCCGAGAGAAGCACCTGACGCAATACAGTCGAGAGATCAGAATGTACAAGGAAGAGTAGATCCAATGAACAACCATCGCCATCATCACATTCTTCTTCCGTTCGCCTCGATTCATTAGCTGCAAAACAATCAAACGGAGAAAGACCCAAACCCCAGAATGTTAATGATTTTCACACTTCCTTTCGGATTCTATCATTAAATTGATCCCCTGTACAGAGCAAGAAGAGTACGAATACCTCGTCCTCGAACAACATTATGTGTAGCCGTAGAATATAGCTCCCTCTCCCTTGCCTACGATGTAGAAACGACAAAGTTCAAGACAGAAATGGGCATACGAAAGCAACCTAAATCCAAACAAGCGAAAAACGTGTGAAAAAAAGAGGGAAATTTTCACCGATTGTTTCTTAGACAGGGTCTTATCCGAAGAAGCAGCAAGGGCTTTCATACTTGTAGACTGGTTAACGAATACAGAGAAATGTTAGGACAGAGTACATCGAATCTTGTAAAACTCACGAAATATACTCTAATGACATCAATAAATTTTGGATCAAAGGCGAGGTTTTCGCATATGAAGTAGTTAAAACCGACGGAAACCCGAGTTGATAACGTAGAAGACAAAAGTAAATTGATCAGGGAGATATAGACCTGATGAGTCGAATATCGAGTCACATCAACGAGCGTTCCGAGATGCCGAGTCGACTGACTCGGTTTCGCCATTGACAAAGCTGCCCGTTGCAGAGACTTGTAGTTAGGGTTCTAGGAGAAGGCAAAGGCGGGATTTTGAATTTGGGGGGCTTTGAACACATGTCTGGTAAAATATATTTATTTTATTCGATGTTGGATAAAAAAATAAATACTACTAATAATGGGCTCAACAGAGGCACTTCAGGCCCAATAAATTGGACAACTTATTGATGAAGAAAGGCCCAATTTTACATATTTTATTTTGCCACGTGTAAACATTTGAATGGTGGATAAAACACTATGTAATCGTAAGACCAGTGTTTAATAGACGAATAAAATAATTACCAGACGATATTAATTTTTAACCTTTTTAATAATATTTTTTTTTAAATATTGCCATTTTAATGATATCATTATCAACCACAATGTGATTAAACTTAAATCCCAAATCAAAATTGGATCACAAAAATTAAAAATTCTATATTCTAAATCCCAAATTTTGATCACTAATGTGGTTTCTACAACACCATCATTTAATTTTTTAAGTGAATGTATTGTTTCTTTGTGTGGCCCTATTAATACCATACAAATCAAAAAAAAAAAAATTGTTATTTATATATCGTAAGCATTCATAAATATACGAAAATAATTTTAAAAAATGCATATAGGTGATATTGACTTGTACTCCATTTCACTAAAAACTAACATGAGATATTTTCAGATTTTGATGATTAAAAAAATCTAAAATTTACAAGATAGAGTAATTATTTCCCAAAATGAATACTAATTCAAGAGAGAAAAGATGAAAAACGAAATATATTTAACTAAAAGTGGTCAATGGTATATAGTGAATAATGAATTGGAACAACAACTCGGTCCAATAAGACATCTCCGTGCCTACCGCCCCGTGACACACCTTTGGCCTCATTTTAAAACCCTACCATATAAGCAGATTTTACTTATATACGGAAAATACTTATTTGCCCTTTTTAGACGAATAAAAACTATATGGTTTTTTATATAAATTAAAATACATTATTCTCTATACAATACTTGCTTAAAATAACAAAGTAGGCGAATGAAAATAAAAAAATATATATGTTGATCCAAATGGGATGATTTTATAATTTTTTTTTCATACAAACTAAATCATTAGTCCCAACCACTAGCGAAATATATAGAAAATTTATTATCGAATGCCTATTTATAAAAATTAGAGAACGTTATTTTAAATTTATAAATATATAAAATTTCATACTACTTTTTTCTTAATTTTATGTCGAGCCCGTATTAACCGGTTACAATTTTATTTTATCAAGTGTACATCAAAATAAAATGGAATTTAATTTTTTTTTTCTGATTGAGATGATTTTTATTTTGACGTAATTAACTAGTTGAGTACCTAAAAATATTATATTTTATTGTTTATAGTAATTCCATGTGATATTATATCGGAATTAATGACATCATATAATGATAATATAAAAATTATGAATGACAATTAATTAATTGGCAACTGATTATTTATATTGATAGTACAAAATCATAATTAAAGAGTTACTATTTTCATATACTGAATCATAACAATCACCGATACCTATATCGGCCGTCTAGAAATCAAATCAAATAAAATCCAATATATAGAGTTGACAAATTTCATTCCGTTCAAAAACTTACTTCCTTCACGTTGGTTGCCAGCTAAATTACCAACGGACTCATTACAATTACATTCTACACACACACACACATATATATATATATATATATATATATAATTTGAGATAGTTTATTTGGTTAATAATAGAATAATCAAATCGATTTGAACCAAAAAATAAGATAAAAACCAAATGACTATGTTTTCTTTGAAATCGTAAATCCAAAACCAGAATCTTAAAAACTGAAAAAATTGATTTTTTTAAATAAGTATTTTGTCAATAAAAATCGAAACCCAGTCAATAAAAAAATCGAGGGTTTATAATTTTTTTAAATCCGAAATAATCAAACCCAGAAAATAACCAAACCGTGCATATATAATCTTTTAATTGCAATTAATTAATCAAAATGATTTCTCCATCTAATCCCTATATAAATACCCACTCCACTCTCTTCATTTCTCCCCACCCTCCACTCATTACAAACCCTCTCCTCGTATCAACTTAACATAGTTCTGTCAATTAGGGTTTTGTGTCCTCTTGAAACAATGCCACTCAAACACTACATTGCCCTCTTCCTTTCCCTCAACCTCCTCTTCTTCACCTTCTCCGCCTCGGCCGCACGTTCCAATTGCCCTCCCTCCCCTCGAAAACAATCCAAAAACCCTAACGCTCCTAACGGTCCGACCACTCCTAACGCTCCTAACGGCCCGACCACTCCCAACGCTCCGAACGTTCCTTCGGCAGGAGGGACATGCCCTAGAGACGCGTTGAAGATTGGGGTTTGTGTCGATGCGCTGAATCTGATAAACGTGACGATCGGGAGTCCACCGGTGCAGCCATGTTGCAGCCTCATCCAAGGCCTTGTCGATCTTGAAGCCGCTCTCTGCCTCTGCACCGCCCTTCGAGCCACCATCCTTGGCCTCACCATTAACCTTCCCATCAACCTTAGCCTGCTTCTCAACGTCTGCAGCCGACAGACGCCACGTGGATTCCAATGCCCTTGAAATCTATATCTACACAGTCCTATATATGTATATGTGTGTGTGTGGATGCATGCACGTTTATATACGTGAGATATTATCTTCCGTTCTACTAAGTTTGTCGTGTGCTTTTGTTCCTTTTTTGGTTCTTTTGCTCTAAGTTGGTGAGGACGATGAAGCAAATTAATATATGTCGTAATGTACGTGCTTTCATGCGACCGTATTTGTACGTTTTGATGAATAAAATATCCGTGCATGTATTTTTTATGTATTCAGAGCAAAAAGTATAATACAATTGCGGGCTGATATATACGTACGTACTCGCATCAATTAAAACACGTTCGATGAAACCTTATTAGAACAACACAATTTTGAGCCATCTAAATCAGGAACGCAATATACGTACACGACTCTTGGGAACACACACACACACACTCATCGTATCTACATGTATATATACATGTGTGTGCATGTTATATGTTCCTAATTGTAGGAAAAGAGAAGAGGGGTTCATAATATTGTCTTTAGAAGGGGTATTTTGAATTGTCCGAGATCTATGTGCTAAATGTTTAAGCACGTGTTCGGACCAATGCGAACGGTTCAATGTACCCGACACTGACACTCGAACGTGCATGCATGGGGCCATGCGGCCTTGGGTGGGTACGTAAGAATGTTATTCTGAAATTTTTTGGAAATTATTTCCTGAAACTAATTACTACATACAGAAAGAAGATTACCAAATTGGTCAAGGTTTTTGCCCCCGTGACTATGCGACCGGTTGAAGTTTTTCACATGGAAAGTGTCAATTCAATACTCAAGAACAATCGTTCCATTTATAGCATGGTTGGTACTATATGATAAAAGCATTCAATCGAATCAAATATCATATATTTCAAGAAACGACCATGCGGATCTTAACTCATTTTTTTGTCCCATTTTAAAATAAATATTGAAAAAAAAATCCAAAATTTATGTTTTAGTCCGCGGTTCGTATTCGATTATATTTTGTTATAATTTCGAAATATTTATTTCTAAAGATAAGTTTTTTTTATTAATTCTGTGTTACATTTAAATTAATTTAATTTTAGAAATAGATACATAGTTTATTTAGATAAAATCATATGGTTAGAATTCATTATTATTTGTTTTCTATAACAGATCTAAATAAGGGCAACTAATCTTTCGCACGGATTCCGAACCTGTCAAATTTGTTTTAAAAAAGGCTGAAATTTCACAAGTTGGGCCGTAATGGGCCTCAATATCTATGTTGGATATCTCAATTGATTCCGTCCAAATCTATCGCTATGTATGTATAAATAAATAAATAAAATACAAATAAAAACCCCCTTTCCACATATTTTTTAGATTTAACTCTAATTTAAATTCTATATAATGAACTCGTAACGTTTTCAGATGTTCTTTAGAGTTTATGAGTACTAAAATCAGGAGAACACTACAACAATTTCTAAAATCTCTGTCTTAAGAAAACTATTACGCACATTTTAACAATATTATGAATTTAAAAATAATTACCATTACCGATGTTTTGATGAGACATTTAATTATTTTAACTGTAATTAAAATTTTTATATATGTATATATATAATATTTCTCACCATTGGAAAAAAAGACCCAATCGCTGTCTGCCAACAGTAGAGGAACACACAAAAAGTTTTTGACAAATTTCCCCACTTCCCGAAATCTCAAAACCCTAGCTTCGATTTCAATTTCTACCTTCATACTGGATCTTGTCTCTACAAAATCTGAAGAAATGGCGACAATTCCAATGGATATCGTCAAGGACATCTTCCTCCGTCTCCCTCCGAAGACGCTCGTCCGATTCCGTGTTCTGGCGAAACCGTACTGCGATCTGATCGACAGCCCAGATTTCATTGCATCGCATCTCGACCGCACGCTTCGGACGAACCGCCACCTCATGATCCTCCTCAGAGGTGCGCTTCACCTCTACTCGGTGGACCTCGACTCACTCGATGACGTCACCGACGTCGAGCTTCCGATGAAAACCGGTGGCCCGACCGAGGTTTTCGGATCCTGCAACGGTTTGGTCGGATTGTCGAACTCCCCAACTGATTTGGCTTTGTTCAATCCTTCCACTCGGCAAATCCACCAACTACCGGTTTCTCCGGTTGGTCTTCCCGAAGGTTCCACCATTCGTGGGTATGTGTTTTACGGGTTCGGTTACGATTCTGTGAACAAAGACTACAAAGTTGTGAGGATGGTACAGTTTAAGCGAGACTCAGACGATGAACTGGGTCACAGTTTCCCCTACGAGGTCAAAGTTTACAGCCTGAAGACCAATTCATGGAAGAGAATCGAAACGGTCCCGGTTATGATTCAGTTCCTGTTCTATTTCTACTACCATCTGTTGTTTCGTCGCGGTTATGGTGTTCTTGCTGCTAACAATCTGCACTGGGTTTTGCCGCCGAGACCGGGATTGGTCGTGGGTAACAGTGTTATTGTGAGGTTTGATCTTGTCTCCGAGGAGTTTGACAAAGTTCCTCTGCCTGAGGCCATTGGTAACTATGACAGTGATATACAGATGGATATAGGTGTGTTAGATGGTTGCCTTTGTTTGATATGTTGCCGTGATCAGACTTATGCTGACGTTTGGGTGATGAAGGAATACGGGGTTAGAGTTTCTTGGACTAAGCTTTTCACGGTTCAGAAACCTAAAAGTGTTAAATCACTTGCATATATGAGACCTTTAGTGTATTCCGAGGACCGGAACAAGGTTTTACTGGAAATTAATAACACAAAGCTGATGTGGTTTGATTTGATAACTAAGAAGTTGACCACTTTGAGAATCAAGGACTGCCCTAGTTCATATAGCGCCGAACTTGTTGTGAGTAGTCTTGTCTTGGGGTGTAAAGGAGATCCCAACGAGGTTAAACGGAGGCAACAGCGACAGAAGCGAGACCACGAGGATAAGATGAGGCAGAGGAAGAAGAGGTGGGGTTGCTTGTTTTGTTCGCATTTCATTGCTTCTACGATTATAAGCGAGATTATATAGAGTAGAAGGAAAACCCAAGTGTTGTGTCCAGCCTTGATGTCCTAGAGCTTGTTTATGCTTTCGGATTATAGTTAATGCGTTCGTTCTGCTAGAGGTTGCTGTATTAACATTGTCAACTTTTTCATATCAGGGACGATTTTCTGTCCAAGGGATTCAAACTCCTGCTGTGAGCAAATGTGGGAGACAATAGCAAAAGGCAAGATGAGGTAAGTGATAAACTTTTCCATCGATGGTGTCACTGATTGGGTTGCTGCTATATCCGATTTGGGTTTTCCCCAATCTTTGGAAACGGGAATCAATATCCGAGTGGGCACAGATTGGAGGAGTTTTTCTGGGTGTTGCCGAGGCATTTATGGAGGGTGTAGGGGGTGAAGGTAGAAATAGAATCATATCATGGGAGGGACAGACATTGAGTATTTTCCGCAATCAACTAGCTTTTTATGCAATCTTGTGATCTTCCTGGAAAATGTCGAGATCCAGACTGTCCGTTAATGAGTATCGATTTTCAGGAGCTGTTTTCGCCCAAGGAGATATCACTAACAGCTAAAACAGGAGAGGTTCTTGTACTCAGAATCTCAGCTCAGTTCCACCCTCTGTCTTGTTGTTAAATAGCTGGGTGTCTTCCACTTCTATGATCTTGCTTTGTAAATTGATGAATCTTCCTTTTAAAGCTTTGACCTAGAAATTTGATATGGGAAATGTTTGTGATACAAAAAGGAGATACTTATGTTCTGAATCTGTGTAATGTAATTGTCTTAACCTTGAATTTGTGTGACATAGTCAATGCAGGATTGCATATACTTTTGATTATTATTATTTTTTGTTTTGGAATAAGATGTAGAAAATTGAGAAATCTTCTCTGGTTGACCGGACCCGGTACGGTTAAGCTTTAGCCGGTTTTGGTACGATTTCCCGGTTATGTAAAGCTCCAAATCATGGTTTTATGGAAACTTTGCTCTCCACATGTTAGTTGCATTGATTTTGCAAAACTAAACAATGAATAGTTGCATCAATAGGAAATGTTTAAAATTATGTTTGAAAATCACACACACTTTATAGATGGATCTTGGACTGACATTGAGATTAGCATATATATGAAGAATATAACAATATATATCCGAGTTTTTTTTATTCTGAATTAACTTTTTTTATTTAATTTTTTAAGGTGAAGTAACCAAACCACTGGATTCTCTATTCATGAATTAAGAAATAAATGAAAACATTGGCATTATAAAAAAAAGTAATTTTACATTTTTTTCTTAGTATATCAAATATCAAATATACACATTCTACTAAGGAATTAAATCTAAAAGAATCTCGTATAGATATAAATAATGTCTAAAAACCAATGAAATTCCTATTTCTTCAACTTTATATAACAATGACGTTTTATGGTAAGTTGAATTTAATGAATTTTGAGGCGGTTACTAATTCTATATCGTAAACATGGTGGCCCCACTTGTTTTTCTTAGAATTAATTTACAAAAATTTAAATGCATTATTTAATTATTAATTATAATTTTATATGTTATGCTTATATATAGAGGTTGATATGGCGGCTGCGATGAAACCCAGACGCAACCTCTACGATCGCCTTCCCCTTCGTCTTCTCTGTATAGCTATTCATACCCTTATACACTGCATATTCCGGTGAGTTACGTATTCATCATACAGTCTCTACTTAGGGTTTTTTTTCGTATACTGTTCACTTTCCGGCGACTGATCGAATGATCTCTCCGGCGCTGTAGCGGGCTGCGGGTGAGGGTTTTTTTGGCTTCCAATGACTCTTGCCCGTTCTTCCTCCGCCAATTCCGCTGCTTTTCACCGATCCTCCTCCGCCGTGGTCGCCGGATCCGATCTCCACAAGCGGAAGCTCGAAGATTTCGCCTCCTCTCCAGATTACTGCGATCAATTTCACGATAGGATGAAGAAGCACGAGGTAGATGACGGGTTGGCGTCCGGGTATGGGTTTCCCGCGTTTTCCGACGAGTATTTGGGGAGTAGCCGGATTTTTCCGTCGGCTTCGGCGGCGGCGGAGTGTTCTTGTTCTTGCGACTCGTCGACTAGGGTTGAACTCGGGACCGAGTCGACTCGGTTGCAATTATTTGTGAAGACGATGTCGGAAGGGAAAACAATCGTGTTGCAGGCGGACAAGCACGATACCGTCGAGCATCTCCACCGGCAGCTTGAGCTCATGACGGGTATTCCGGTGACCGAGCAGCGGTTGATTTACAGCGGGAGGCAGCTACAGTACGAGCAGTCTCTGGGTGATTATGCCATTGGGAAGGATGCCTCGCTCAATCTCGTTGGTCGGATGAGAAGTACGGAGCATCCCTTGGCTTGGCAAATGATCGACGATATGATGTCCACCGTTTGTAGGATGTGCAGAGGTGAACCACTCAGGGAGAGTACTCCGTGCATCGAGGAGAAGTTAACGGTGTTCTTCACGATGATTCCAAGGGACAACAGCGACACAGCAGCAGACTATTTGCGGATCTTCTTGGCCTCCTCAGCACCGGCTGCTCTGGTAATGCTGTATGTTTCTTCCATAGAAGTTAACAAGTTGTATGCTGAAAGCTACGTTGGCCATTTCCTTACTTGTTGCCGAAACTTGCCCAAGCCGTTTTACAATCATTGTATACCGATGGTGTTAGAGTTCTGTAAGCTGCTTAGGAAAGTTGCCCCTCATGAAAGGTTGTATATGTCTTGCCGGAAAACCTTGGGTTCAATGCTGGAGTCAGTTGAGGGTTTTAGTGGATTTAAGCATAAAAATGATGGTGGAGGGTTGTTTTATGTTCAGGAAATTTTTCCATTCATCAGCGAATTGGCTGATAAAATTTTGAAAGACTTGGTCTGCAGTATGGATTCAGTCGGGAAGTCAGAGACTTTTTCTAGTGATGTTCGTGACTTTTCGACCTTCTTGCTTCCCTTGAGGAGGGCCATCTTATACAGAGTTGGCTTCTCATTGCCTATTAATATACCTCTGCAGAAAAGGGGAAGTGGCTATTCTGCATTGGAGCTGGAGATTGGATATCTCCACTTGATATTCAAAAACTTTTTGAGTACGATGGAGAAGTGTCTGGATAAAGTAGAACACTGGTTGGGTGAAAAAAGAGCTCGAGATAGTAAAACCATGCCTGCATCATGGTCTGACTATCTGGCCGTTCTGAAAGTAATCAATTCGATATCTAACTTCTATCAAAGTGCTAAAGAACAACTATTGGACGTTCTAAAGTCTAGGAGGGCTTCAGTCTGTGCCCTTATAAGCTTTGCGAAGAGAGCTGATGATCACCAATGGATTCTTGAGTACAAGGAAGTTACGAACTTTGAAGCTAGGAGGCATTTAGTAATGACGATGTTTCCAGATGTGAAAGACGAATTTGAGGAGCTGCATGAGATGCTCATTGACCGGTCCCATTTGTTGGCAGAATCATTTGAGTACATAGGGCGTGCAGACCCTGAGTCGCTCCATGGTGGCTTGTTCATAGAATTCAAGAACGAGGAAGCTACAGGTCCTGGTGTTTTGCGAGAATGGTTCTTTGTGGTATGCCAGGCCATTTTTAATCCTGCAAATGCTCTCTTTGTTCCATCTTTTGAGGATCGTAGAAGGTTCTATCCAAATCCAGGTATTCTTGTCAATGGCTATGCTTCCATATTGTAATTTGGTTGTCTGTGAATCGGATTCAGAACTTGCCTGCATTTCCAATATATCTAATTTCTTAGTGCGTGACAACGTGTCTTTTTAAAAAATTTGGGAGATTCAGTAGTAAGATTCTCCTTGTTTTATATGTGATTGTACTATTGCGTAAATTCTATTCTGCTAGTAAGAGTAAGCTACTTCCGTTTTGTGGTTGTGCGAGGTAACCATGCATGACTTGCCTGTCTTGATTATTGATTACACACTGCATTTGTGTGCATCCCAGACATGTTTCTCATATAGAAGTTCATGGCTATGCTATGAATGAGTCTTCTCATAATCTATTTTCTCCATTTTTTTGCTTCAAGTTGGGTTTTTTGTGTGTGTATGCATGGTGTTCTGAAAGTTTAAGCACAGGATGTATCTGCGACAGTAGAAAGAAATGGTATTATATACTGAAAACATGTTGCTGCTGCTGCTGATATGGAAATGTTATATCCTTGCATTTTGAAAACTTGACTTGCTCGGTCACGTTTCTTCAGTTCTTGTTAAACTTACTGAGGCGAAATATACACAGTTGAATTGTGTAGGAGCGTGTATGTTTGCTGCAGGAGCTATTTTTATATCTCATGTGCTATCATTTTGAAACATCTACCAAGTCTTCCTAGCAACGGCCCGAATCGTTTTGGGTTTAGTTTCAAGATTACCTCAAAATATGCATTTAGCTAAGATGCACATAACACTTCTTCCTTCTCTTAAGTTTAGAACTATTTTGTATCAGAAAACAGGAAACAAATCTAAGAATATTGTATGTTCCCTCTCAGTGCAACCACATTGTGCGGTACAAGTAAGCCGACCATGTGACTGCAATTCAAGCAGAGTACTGGCTTTAAGGGTTTGTTTATGTATGCAGCATCCAGGGTGGACCCAATGCATCTTGAGTACTTTACCTTCTCTGGTCGGGTGATTGCTTTAGCTCTAATGCACAAAGTGCAAGTGGGTGTGCTTCTCGACCGTGTTTTCTTCGTACAATTGGCTGGAATGCAAGTTTCTTTGGAAGATATCAAGGACGCGGATCCTGTTTTGTACAGAGGCTGCAAGAATATACTAGGAATGGATCCTGAGGATGTTGATTCAGATATCTTGGGGTTAACTTTTGCAAGAGAAGTTGAGGAGCTGGGAAAGAGAAATGTGGTGGAGCTCTGCCCTGGCGGGAAATCCATTGCCGTGACCAGCAAGAACAGGCACCAATATGTAGAACTTCTTATACAACATCGGTTTGTCACATCTATCTCTGAGCAAGTATCGCACTTTTCTCGGGGTTTCAATGACATCCTCTCAGATCCCAAACCACTGAGATCCTTCTTCAAGGGTATAGATCTTGAAGACCTCGATTGGATGCTTAGGGGCCGAGAAAGTGCCATTAACATAGATGATTGGAAGGCGCACACAGAGTACAACGGATTCAAGGAGACTGACAACCAAATCGTATGGTTTTGGACGGTAAGTATATTCCTTGTTGGATTCTTTTGTTAAGTTGTGATCTGGGGACTTTTTTCTTGATATGACTGATCTCTGTTTGGTTCCTGAACTGACTTTACGACACATGTGACACGGTATCAGGGCGTTAGCTTGTGACCCCATGGCCTCAGCAGAAACCTATCTGCAAATATGGTTTGGATCAAGTTTAAATCTGTCAGGATTGGACTCGGTTCAATCCATTTGACCCTTTCAGCCCGGCTTTATCAGTGTGTTTGTCCCACCTGGTTAATCATTTTGTCTTAGTTTACTAGATCAAATTAACATGCGCCCCTAATCCAACCCAGTTGAGCATTTTTCTAACATAATATCTTTTGCTCAACCTATCATTGTTAGTGTTCTAGAATGTCATGAAACTTGAAACTTTCTTCTCACAATTTGTATATAATACATGTCCTCAAAAGATAAAATTGGTCAGATTATATGGGGGATCCGGGTCCATAGTGTGGTCGATTAACAGGTCAGGTTTTGGGTCTTCAGTAGTAGCTCTGTTATTCAAATGTCACATTTGGATTGAATTGCACAGAATGTATGATACAAATGATCCCTGAAGTGTTTGCTCTTTTTATATATTTATGTTAAGATTATGTTCCTGTGGGGAAAAAAGGGATCAGAATCTTTTGAAACTCATTTGGAAAAGGGGAAAATAAAATTGTATGCAGATTGTGGAGGGAATGACGGAGGATGAGAAGAGGTCACTGCTGTTCTTCTGGACATCGATCAAGTTTCTACCGGTGGAAGGCTTTGTGGGATTATCGTCGAAGCTTCACATCCACAAATTGTACGACACACAGAACCCGCTACCGCTGTCTCACACATGCTTTTACCGCATATGCCTTCCTATTTACTCATCCTTTGCCGTCATGGAGCAACGCCTCAGATTCATCACCGAAGATCATGTCAGCTCCAGCTTTGGCATCTGCTGAATATCAAAGTAACACCTCTCTCCCTCCATGTTTCCATAGAAAAGAAAAAGAAGCAACTTTATTAGTTGGTTTTTTCTGGGTTGGGAAGTAGATTCTGCTGCGCTTAGTGTACAGATACTTAGTTGGGGGTTAACATTATAGGGATCGATGCCAAAATAAACATGGATGAGAAGGAAAAGGAGAAAGGAGAAAGGTGAAACTTTTCTCGGTTTTTTCTGGTTAGTTGGCTCTTTTGTACAGTTTGGTAGGCTGAAACAAGATTGTGGTCTGTAAAAATCTTTTATGGATCAAATTTTTGTTAAGTAGACTGAAGGTTTTTTTTCTTTTCTTGTGTGTTATACAACAATCTACCAAAGAGCAAATGCAGCATACATACATATATATATATATATATATATATATATATTAAGCAAAGGGTTTGTAAATGTTTCAGTATATTGATGATGTATCGTACAGCTCATGTATATACACATGTATAGTCCATGATTTAAGGAAACAAAATAGCATATAGTCTGGAGATGATGAAAACAAATAGTAACAGGAAAATATTCTTCTATCATGCCCCGCCCCCGCAGAGACTCATAAGTGAGACCAATCTTGAATAGAGTTAGGCTTCGTAAGTGCATCTGTTAGTTGATCTTGAAATGAGGTATGAATAACACTGAGATGATCATTCCGAACAAGACCACGAACAAAATGAAAGTCTAGAGAAAGAGATACCAAGATAACCAACACATGCAATTCTAAGACCGCTGAGGCAACATATTTGTACTCCCATTTAAGATGACGACCAATGTAAACAAAATGAGCACTCGTGGAAGTGAAATCATCTTTGTTGCTGTCTCAATCCGCATCAGAAAAAACATGGAGAGACGAGGTGTTCGAAGCCCAAGAGGACTTGTTCTAACAAGGTAACGGAGAACACGCTTCATGACCTTTCAGTGTTCGGAAGACTATGCAGAATTGAGATAGTTTGTTCATCGCATATATGATGTTTGTTGGGTGGAATGCAGGTGTTGAAGACTGTTTACAACGTTGTGATATTTGGTATGATTATCCAAGGGCGTACCGACAGAGAATGTAAGAGAAGAGGTCGACGACATTGGAGTTGCTAAAGGTTTAGCGTATAACATGGTTGTTCGAGTGAGAAGATCTATGATATACCTTTTCTGAGTAAGGTAGAAGTCGGTCGAGGAGCGAGAAACTTCAACACGACAAAAGTTTTGTCATTTTATTAGACAAAGAATCGAAATGAAAAATCTAAAATGATTTTATTGAGAACTCGGCTGATGGATAACTTAATCTAATGTGTCACTCAATCAATGTGCTCTTTATGCTAGTTATGACTAAAGGAGACAAAGGAGAGAACGAATAAGAAGAGATTGACCATTCATACACACCATCTAGATGGTATGCGATTGTAAGTTGTGTCTCCTTTTTTAAATTCTCCACCTGAAAATATATGAGAAAGAATTTCACTGAGAAACATTGTTAAAAACACAAAATTGATGAATTGAAACGAGGTGTTTGCATATACCCGAAACATAGAGAACATTGGTAGGGTTAAAAGGGCGAGATGAACAGGAGATAGACATAGAATCCGTGTGAGTGACAATGCGGTCGGAACCATCTCCTAACATAACATTGTTAGCACCAGAGTATGGAGAGTGAAGCAAGAGATTGACAAGTATCAAAGGTAATGAGATGAGATGCTCCGGAGTCCAATAACCAAGTAGGCGAGATTGCAACAACAGGTAGTATTGTGTAATCGACACAAGGTTTGTCACGGTGTCGAATGAGACTAAGTTGTGTTCAGTCCTGGCGAAGGATCCGAGAGAGAGCCCGAGGAAGAGTGTAGAAGATGACAATGCTTTGCACTATGTCCTTGATTGCCTCCGAGTTGACATTTTTCTTGATAGTTATAGAATGATTTGCGATTCCGTGAGGTAGAAGCATATCGGATGCCGACCGAGAGACTTGATGCAATGGAGGATGAGAAGCTGATCCGTGGTGCCTCATCTGCGTGTTATGTGTCGTGATAGATAAGACAGACGAAAGATAATCCGAGTTAAGCAGCACCGAATCATGGTTGATTTGGTGTTCCACAAATGAGATGGATGTGTCTCTCTCGCATTCACAACATCCTTGACACAAAAAAGCAAATAAAACCGAAAGATCATCATGTAATAAAATCTATATGGAGACTATATATGTTGAGATCATGTTATGTAGCTCCTCCATGCATGGTCAGCCATTAGGAGTCTCTACGAAAGAAGAGCTAACACAAATATATATTTAGAGAGAGAGAGAGAGAGATTGATGAGGCAAGTTTAGTGGGGAGAAGTGATCGAGCAAGAAAGGGTATATATGGAGGGAGAATGGATCCACCGAGCATATAAATAAATAAATAAATAAATATACATATCCACCAATACATATATAACTCAATTGGGCTTCGACTTACCATTACACAGATCATTAAACACTATGCATTCACGAATTATAATTTGGCATACCAAATGACCCTCTTGTTTTGATTTCTCTGCTTCTGCTTCCTCGCTGTGTATAAATGCAAGGGAAAAAAAACTGTACAGAGAGGCCAAACTCTCTCCATCTGACACTAAATAAGCATAGAGGCATAAGGAGAATCTTACAGATAGAAGGGCGAAGGGCGCGAATACAAAATATCACCAGCCATCTGCCCATTGATCTACCAAAACAACAAAAAGACCCCACAATATCTGTGACTGTGAGTACAATATTCACCCTAACCATCTCCATACACAGACCAACCAAACAAATAACTCAAAACATGAGAAAGTTAAAAGGTAAAAAAAAAAGAAGGGCCTTTTCACGTGAGAGTTTTACAGCATTAGCCACAAGAAGGTTCCCTAGTCACACACCTGCAAGAGAATCCAGATGTAGAAGTCAATTACATCATTGGAACACACACACACACATACATATATATATCATAATAATGGTGTGTTGTTGTGGCAAATCATTCAGACTTACACTAGTAATGGAAGTCAGACCCATCTGATATTACGGCCGCTTGTACATATGACGCCTCAGCATCTCATTTATCCCCACTGCTGAAATGCTTTCGCACCCGAGGAGATCCCTCAGCTTTTCATCGCAATGGATTGCCATCGGATTCAACGGATCCTGAAAACAGTGGAACAAAAAAAAAAATTAAATATTAAGGATAAAAATCTATCCTTAATCGCCAGATACTCCTTTAAAAGGCTTAGATAATTAGTGTTCTAATTTTTCTTATTAATGGCTCATTAGATAGAAGATAGGTCATCAACCGTGAACATGCTTAAATTTAACATCTACTCCTCTCAAAGATTTGTCTTATTGGAGGAAGCCAACAAATATTTGCTTCCTGTACAACCAAACTTGATTTCCTTGTCAGGCAGGTTCTTGCCTACACAACAAAGCCATGACAATAGAGGCATGGAACCATAGATGAGAGTGCTCACCTCCAAATGATTGAGTTTTACATATTCCCAAACACGCTGCGTAACTTCTGTTCCCTCCATCTCTGTCTCACCTGTCCCAAAGAACTTAGCAAGAGGCTCAGACAGTACAATAGTTGAACTGACTGGCTCTGTGTCTGTGGTTTCAGTCTTACACTCAGCATCCGCTTTCACCCGTTTCGCTTGAACAGATTCCTCTGCCAAAGAGATTGGATGGTCAGTAAAAGTTCCAACCAAAGCCAAAAGCAGTTGACCAAGAGTTTTATTTCACCATAACAGAGGAAAACTTTTTACTTGTTGGGTCAAGCGGGAGAATATGTTTTGCGAGCAGCTTATTCATTTTGAACATGTCAGTGCAATCCGTCTCAAAAACCACTCGCAGGGCATCGTCGCAGATGATCTTCCGCTTGTTATTTGGATCTTGGAGGTTGTTCTTCCTTATGTAAGCCCATAACTGCTTCACAATCTGAGATCAAAAGCTGTAAACATCAATTTTCTCAGAATCTACTCTGTCACACACCAGATGGACGATTTTGGGGATAGGGTAATGACCTCAGTTCTTGGAAGAGCAGGTCCCCCAACTACGACCTGAAGCTCAGGAGAGACCCCACAGACTTTGTTAAGACCGCCAGGACCACCCTTTCTCTTGGATCCAGCTGGAGCACTGTAATGAAGAACATTGTGAAAACAAACCAAGGTCATGGATTTGCATTTGATGCAGCAAACTTCCATTAACTAACACACGCTTGGAGAAAATTCCAAACAATTTGGGCGAAAGAACAGATAATTTGCAAAAAGGAGAAAGTTTTTCAAAGGGAACTGAACTAAGAAATTGCCACGGAACTCGAACTGTGAACAACGATGTGTTCAAAAGATTGTGAAAATTGTTAGTCCAAAAACTCAGTAAATGAGCAGAAGCTAACCCAGGTAGAGCGATATTCTTATGGTAAATCCCATTTTCTTGAAAGCAAGAAACCCAAAATTTAGACAAGCTAAAACCCTAATTCTGCAATCTGGAGGACGTGGAGCTAAAATTAAGAACACTGGACCCCAAGAATTGACGAAATTGAACCCTAGAAAAAAAGCCTACGTACCTTTCTTTCCGGGCCGGAGCCTGATCAACAGAGACAGCAGCGTTCACGCCTTGAGTAGCCAGCATCGGCGGGGGGCGC